TGGACATGGAGACCCCCTTCACCACCCCCAGCCTATTTTGCGGCATAGGCCAGGTTCTGTCACCACGATTTTCCAAGATGGGGAGGTAAAGCGCTTCTTGGGGACCACCTTCGAGAGAATGGCGTGTGGCATCAGTGAACGACACACGGTTTCCCACCTTTCTCCCAGTTCCTGGAGCACCTTGTTGAACTTCCCCCCGCCCCCCCCACCTGCAGTTGAGAAAAGAAAAAGGCAAAACTAGAGTGTGCTCTTAAAAAACAGACCCTGAATTAGGAAGTCGTCTTGTACAGAGCTAAGCCTCTGCCTGGCATGGGGCTGTGCCTGGGCCTTGGGGTCACACCACTGCCTGGGTTCAAATCCCAGCCTGGCCACTTGTGTGATCTTGGGCAATGACTTAGAAGGAAGGACAGTGAAAGGCATTTTGAACACTGCCTGGTACATTGTAGGTTGTTTGTAGGTAATAAAGTCAGTCTTAACTGTTGATACTGTGGCTCAGGAAAGCTGAGAGGCTGGGTTATCTTGAAGTGAGGCGTCCGTTAAGTCGGCGGACATTAGGAAGGGCTGAGCAGGATTATTTCTGGTGGTTTACAAGACACAGGTTCGGGAACCATCTCCTCACATGCTTGGCTCCTAATACCCGTAGACCTTCCCATATTATTAAGATTTCAGTGAAATGTCACAGGAGGGGAAAATTCTGCTGCTTCCTGCTGCAGGCCAAGCTGTTCTCCTGAGTCATTGCTCTGTCCTCTGGGCAGCTCTCTCCCTGGCCTGTTTAACTCCTTCAGAACCAGACTTATGTTGGGGGGACGGGGGTGGAAGGCAGAGAGGGTTGCCCCCGGGCCAACCCAGTGGAACCACAGGTCCTGCTACCTCACAGAACCATCTTTCAGCTCTAGGGTGAACCGTTTCCCTGGTGATTCAGGCTGCGGTGGCTTTTATCGTCTTGTTCCAAGTTTATAGATGAAGTGTGTCTAACGATACATCCTCATCAGAATTAAATCCTTAAAGAAGGAAAAAGAAAACTTGGCTTTCTGAAAAAGGTCGTTAAGGTGGCTTTGTTACTGTGACTACAGCAAGGCCCACACTTACCATTCTGTCACCAGTGGCCTGGCCGCCCCCCGGAGTGGGTAGGGATTTTTTAGCTAAAACGCTGATCTGATCTCTCAGACCTCCGAAAGACACTCAATCTAGCCAGCATTGCCCTTTTTTTCTCTCTAAGAGCCTTCATTGAGAGCTTCTGCTGTTGACAGATGTGTCTGTTGTTTGGAATCTATTAAATTTATATCCCTTGGATGCAGCTGCTGAATTCTCTCTCATTAACTCTGGAGGAAGTCGGTGTGTTTGTAACCAGGAGCAGAGTCAGGGGTTTTTGTGTCTTCCTGAGACTAGAGGTTTGGAATTCTTTCTGGTTTGGGCCCCTCTAGCTGAGCCGGAACCGGATTTCCCCTTCTGATGCCCGATGGACTTGGGCAGAACTGCCTCCCCAGCTCTAAATTGCTCATGAGTGTGTCCATTCCTAGTGACCGCCCCATCTCCCAATTTCTCATGGAATTAAAGGGTTTGAAAGTTCAAGAGGGACCTTATGACCCTAGCTCTGGACTTTTTAATCTTTACTGCTGGTGATGCCTTTGAGAAGGTGAGGTGGGTGTGACCCTTCTTCCCAGGAAATTGCACATACAGAACCATGGCACGTGGGTCACGGGTCCCTGAAGCATGTTCTTGGGCTCCAGGTGAGGAGTCGGTCTGGCTCCTTTCTTTCCTCTCTTCCCATGTTGTAGATGGGAAACTCTCCGGGGGTTGTTGCCTGTTTAGCTGTCCTCATTCTCTCATCTTTGTTTTCTCATTGTATCCTTGCTTGAGAAACTATTTCCTCAGTCTCGAGCCAGCCCCCCAGGTAGCGGTGGGAGGCAGAAGAGGTTGGCTAGGCTTGAGAACTCAGACTCCATCCCCCAAACACACACCCTAGAGCATGTCAAAAGAGCCTGTATCCCAAACCTCCAGAGGGCGTGTCAAACCACAGATGGCCGGGCCCTTCGCAGGGTGTGGGGCCTGAGAACACGCATTTCTAGCAGATTCCCAGGTGAAGCTGCTGCTAGCATGAGGACTGCACGCTTGGGAGCCATCATCCTGGGGGTCTCAGCTGCAGGTGGGAAACGTAGACAGCTCAAGGAGGCACTGGTGCCCTTTGTGGCTTCTGAGGCCGACTGGGTGTGGGTTCGCCCGCCGTGTCCCCCGGGCCGTTCCTGCAGCAGCACTCCTAGGAGTGTCTGGGAGGTCCGTGGGGATGCTCTTCGTTGTCACAGTGTTGGGGAGTCCTGATGGCATTGAGTGGGAGCATTCCAAGGTTGTCCTTGGAGTTAGGGAGAGCTGCCCCTTCCAGAACCCAGGAGTGACTTTTAATTGAGAAACATCGAAATGCACTCTTTTTTTCTGGAAGGGCCCAAACGCTCCCATGGGTGTGTCTGGCCTCCTATACTTTTCTTCTTTCGAAATCTACCCACAGATGGGACAAAACATACACAATCCAAACCTTTGCCCAGTTGCTTTCAGTTCTCGCCCGGTCAAGATGCCATTTCTTTTGGGACACACCTCTTTTGAGTCCCCCAAAACACCTTAGACACCTTGAGCAAAGGTATTTGGGTTTTTCAGATCCGTGTAGAAGAAATCCCAAAACACCTTCCTTCGGTCCACAAGCCTGCAGTGATCGGCCCCAACTTTGTCCATCTGGTGACATTTTTTTTTTATCCTGAGTCAGGCCTCTGTCATGTGCTCATTACCGGCTTTGGTTTATACCTGCTGCTTTTTTTATGTGAAATGAAACCTTCCATGTACTTCATTACTCATTTCATTTTGACATAGTAGTCCTAGCACATGGTAAATAAAGTCACGAGGGTACACAGTGAAAAATAATGCCTTCCCCAGGCCCCTGCAGGCTCCCCTTTCCTGAGGCAACCAACCACCAGCCCCCATTTAGAGCTCATCCAGTGTTCATCCAGGAATGTTCTAGGTTTATGCAAACAGGGTGACAGATTTATTAGCAGATTGTGTGTGTGTGTGTGTGTGTGTGTGTGCGTGTGTGTGTTTTAATGCACTAGCCACGTGTCGCTCTTTTTAACCTGACGCAGAAGCTTGGAGGTTGTCATGCATCCGTTTGCATTGAGGTGCCTCGTTGCTCTTAATGGCTGCAGAGTAGTCCTCTGTGTGGCTCTGTGCAATGCCAGACCAGTCCAGTCCCCTCTCCTGGACATATCGTCGTCTCTGGCCTCAGGCAGAGCACACAGTGCCGTGGTGGAATCATCGTGTGTGTGATTTCTCTCCTGTGGCTTTGTCTATAGATCGTGTTTCTGGGAGCAGACAGTTGGGTCAGAGACTCTGTGGAGGAGGTGACAGTCCTCATGTTGATGGTGCAGAGCGGGGTGAGGATCCCTGCTGGAACGACGGGAGGTTTTCTCTAGGGAGCGAGCCCATCCCCGGCTGCACCATTTGAATGAGTCTTCCCGCTAACTAGCTCTTGTGTGCCTCTGGGCCAATCCTTCGGGCTCTCCTGGTCTCCTTTTTGATGTCTGTGGGGTGACCCCCTGAACTCTGGGGTCTTTTCTCCTCAAGGTGCCTGTGGTTAGCGTTTAATTTCCTCTCGGGGCTATGTCTCAGTGGGCACCCTGAACGTTTGTTCAGGATTTTCCTGAAGCCTGTCTGGCGAGACTGGAGAGTTCCATCTTGTGGACTGGAGTTTGTGACAGCCGTTCATTGTCCCCCTGTGTGAGCCTGCCGGAAGATGCTCCGCCTTTCAGTCCAGGACAGACCACCAGGAGGCCTTGCATGTGGCCGTATTGGACCCTGTTAATCTGCTCCACCGTGGCTCCCGTCCACACACAGGATGGTGACACGCGGTACAGCCTGCCTGCTGGGACTTGCCTGAGAGTTAAAACTGGAGGAGGAATGTCGTCAGGCTATCTTTGGGGGATAATCGTCTTTCCGGATTCCATATCCCATCTTATCTATCGCCTGTGCTCTCGGCGTAGCTCTCTCTCCTGGTGCCCGTGCCTTCCAGCCCTCAGCATGTAAGGTGGGCCAGGCTGTGCCAGTATATCATCCCTAAGCTCACCCGACAGCCATCGGTCATGGACTGGATCCACGTCCTTGCAGGTGACGAGTGGATGGTGGTGGAAGTGTATATGTGTTTAAACGAGATCCTGGGAGAATTAAAATAGAAAGGAGTGGGTTGAGAAAGGTGGGGTTGGCATTTTACAGATGAGGGAATCAGCGAGAATGTGATTCGTGTTGACCTCTTTGGAGGAGAGTTGCAAACATAATGCCTCCTGGTGAGGGGGCCCTGAGGATTTTCTGGTGGGTTATGTTCTTTCCGCATAGTCACACATCGTTAGCCTGACAGACACGAATAAATGTTGTCTTCCACCAAGAAGTATGTTTGCCTTTGTTTTCTGGAATCATGGGGCCGTTCATGGTTTCCTGCTTTTGCCATCAGGAACGGATGTGAAGAAGAAATATTTCTTTGGGATAAAGACAATACTGGTGCCCATGTGACAACTCGTGGTAGCTGGGTCACGGCCTCGTCAACAGGGACAGTAGGGAAGGGTGGGGATTGTGGCAAAATGGAAGGTACATATCCATCTAAAAATTTGCTGGCTGGTGTTCAAATCTATTTGTTGCCATAGGCCTTGGTGGCTCTGATCTGTTTTTTTTTTTTTTTTTTAAAGAAAAGCCAAAAATCTACATTATTTTGTGAAGCTTCCCAATTTTGGCAGTGAACTAAAATTTTTACAAAAATGTTATGTAGGCCAAAGAAAGACTGTCTGACCTTTGTCTGAGACAGTCAACAAAAGGGGTTTTGGCGGGGAGTGTATTCCAGGAGGGGGAACACCAACAGGGCATGCATGGATTTGGGGACAGAATGCCTCATGTCCTACACACCCCCTCCCTGAGGGGGCCCAGGCCTCCCCGACTGCTTTAATATGTGTGGTCCTGTGTGTCTCTTTCAGATCCTGGCTCCACAGAGAGAACAGCCCAGAAAAGGAAGTTCCCCAGCCCTCCTCATTCTTCCAATGGCCACTCGCCACAGGACACATCAACAAGCCCCATTAAAAAGAAAAAGAAACCTGGCTTACTGAACAATAACAATAAGGAGCAGGTAAAGGGCCACTGGGAGTGCTGTCCACACCAGCGTGACAAAGGCTGTAGTGACAAGCACTGCAGCTCCCCGGGTTTTGTTAATAGCTGATGTTCATTTTGCAAGCTGCCTTACACCGGCTGTCATTTGCATAGGACAAAAAGGGCAGCTCAAAATGGGCCCGTGTAGAAATTTCTAGTGGGTTTTCAGATCTGGTTTGTGGAGAGGGCAGTGACCCAGATGAGAAGAAGAATACTGTGCTTTTAGGGTTTGGGGCTTTTCCTTGAGTTTCTTTTTCACGCTTGAGGCCTGAGGGTCTTTCCCTTGGGTATCAGCCTCTGCCGGGCGTTTGTGTGGCTGAGGCATGCTAGGCTCCCTACTGGTCTCAGTTTTCTCATCTGTAAAATAATGGATTTAGGTCTGTGGTGAGAGACAGCTGTTCTGTCCACCCATGCTCGCTGTCAACTTTGGTAATAATTGGTCACCCTTCTCTGGTAATTGGTCATTGTGCTTAGACCCTGGGCAGCAGACCCCACCCTCCCTGGCAGCCAGGACTAGTCAAGGAGATGTGAGCATCTATCTATTTGTCATCTTGGATCTTGTCTAAGGAACCTTCCAGCTTTCAAATTCTCTGATGCAGGGTAGATATATTTCCCATTTGAAAATGAATGAATGAATGAATGAATAAAGACCATGAGGCCAAAACTCCTAGTATCAGAGGAAGCAGAAAGCCCAGTGGTTCTGGTACCACTTCAGGCTGAAGTGGGCTCTGGGGATTTGAGGTTGAATAAAACAAGGTTGTTGCTTTTAGGAGACGAGACCCAGCAGTGAACGGTTAAGTGCCCAGGACTGTGAGAGGGGCATGTTTCTGCGCACTCATCTATTTTCATTCCCAAATTACGGAGCGGAATGCCAGCTCTGCCTTTGCTCTGTGGCTGTGGGCAAGTTAACCTCTTTGTGCCTAGTTTTCCCATCAACTAAATGGGAATAATGATGCTGTTGCTACAGATTTCACAGGGTTGTTGTGAAGATTAATTGAGCTAAATGACGTAGAAAAAAACCCCAATAATAAAAACGAAGCCAGGCTCTACACTAAGTGGGTAATCACACAGACTATATATGAAATAATTCAACAAAAGGTCTAGAAATGTTCTCGACCCGCGTTGTTCAGTGTGATAGCCACAAGCCACGTGTGGCCATTGAGCATTTGCAGTAGTGAATGTGACCGAGGAGCTGACTTTCTAATTTAATTTAAATTTGTCTGTGGCTGTAGCTACCGTGGGGGACAGTGTAGGTCTAATGAGTAGGGAATCCCATAACAGGAGAAGAAACCATTGGGTTCTAAGTAAATTTCTGGGGGAACTATAATTTGAAAAACATACGTAAGTGTTGGTGATAGTAATTCCAAAAGCAGTGCTTATTGCTAGCCATTTCCTGTTGTAAGCTCTTTCCGGTGTTAAACTTTTTTAAAATAATTTTTTAAATTGAGCTACAATTGACATATGACATTATTAATTTCAGGTTTTTATGTTAGTCTTCATGTTTATAATAACCCTGTGAATTAGGGCTATCCCCAGCTCCATTTTACAGATGAGAACATGGAGGTTCAAGCAGGTTAAATTTCCTCCTTGAGGCCTCAGAGCGAGTAAGAAAGAAGCTGCCTTTGAATTTAGGTCTGCCTGTCACCCAGGAGCCATACCATAGCTGCTGGGATTAAAGGCCAAGAAAGAGAAACATGCACACAGCTTGTGAGCCCCTATCTGTCCTTTAAGAATTGGTTCGTGTCTCTCTTTCTGGAAACTGATCAATTTGGGCAGTTCACACGTTTTCTTCTTTCCCTCCCCACCCATGTGTTAATAGCATTTCTGTTACACTTACGCCTTGTGACCGGAGCCATACCATAGCTGCTGGGATTAAAGGCCAAGAAAGAGAAACATGCACACAGCTTGTGAGCCCCTATCTGTCCTTTAAGAATTGGTTCGCGTCTCTCTTCCTGGAAACTGATCAATTTGGGCAGTTCACATGTTTTCTTCTTTCCCTCCCCACCCATGTGTTAATAGCATTTTTGTAACACTTACGCCTTGTGACCACAGTGATGTGTTTGTAAATCTGTGTCCCCTCTTGACTAGCAGCCTCAGAAAAGTGGCCAGTGTCTGGCAGCTATTGTTGCCCAGTGTTTGACACAGGGTGGGAGCTTATGAATATAGAACGAACTTAGGATGTGGAAAATAGCAGAGCGAGGGTGACTGGGCATAGGGCGTGATTATGCTCCTGAATTATCTGTCATCTTCGGTACCGATACAAGAGTTTACAGGACCATGGCACTGGAGGGAAACTGTTTCCGACCTGGAGACCTGGCTTTTTGGAGACCTGGCTTTTTCTAGCCCCGCTGCATCCGGGGAACTTGCTGTGTGACCTTGTCCATTGCTTTCCTATCTCTGAGCTTCAGGTACATTGTAAAATAGGGGTTTGGACTGGGAACATTATCAGGTTGATTGTAGGTTTGTTTTTTCAGATCCAAAACTCCCTGAGGCTGAACAGCCAGGAGTTGGCAAAGAAGAAATAGCCTTAACTGTAAAGAGAAGAAATCGCTGACTGACCCTTGACTCCATAATTCATTCTAGCATATGACGTTTGCATGGTGGGGGCAACCTCCCTCCTGCATGATCTGCTTTCCTAAGGGGAAACTTAAATCCTTTATATAAAAAAATTCGTCTGGATATTTTCCTTTCCCTTTCCCATTCCTGTACCTGTCTCCTTTTAGAATTCTGGAATTAAAAAGTGATAGAATTAAAACCAAATCCTAGGTTGCAAATGCTGTGTTTGATCAACATAATTCCTATCGGTCACCAGCATTTGAAGAGCATGAAATTCCAAATGACTTGTATATCTGGGTTCTTCAAAACTTAGAAGAATCCAGCGATAGCTAAAGCTGAGTGGGTCCTGTCCCTTTAGACGCAGGGCCTGCGTGCTCTGCTTTTCCGCACTCCCCACCCCTCCCTATCGTGTCGTATCCTGCCTGCTTCCCTCATTCCTTCTGCGTCTGGCTCTTAGGCATTCAAGTTCTTTTGATGATTGGCATATATTGAGATCCTCCATCTCTTTCTTCTTTATCTTCTCTCTAATTTATTTTCTGTATTCCAGTGTTTTGAAAAGAAAGCCATTCTAGCCTTGTAAAAACAACAACAACAAAATCGTATTTTTCCTCCAGGTTGAAACTTGTTATTACCAAGTGGAGATAGGGGTTGAGTTTTCAAGTTGGGACCCTGTTTCACCCATTTTTCGTATATTGGGAGTTTAATATTTTTAGGGGAATTTTTTAAGAAGAGCTTTAAAAATACTTGGGTTTTCGGGGAACAAGTATTCTGAGGCTTATAATTAATTTTTAATGCCTGTGGTCCAGTGGTTCTATCCCTTTAGAAAAGTTTGAAAACAAGTAGGTGCTTTTCCTTGTGGATGTTGGGGGGACCCCCCAAAGCCCAGAAGGATGCTTTGTGGAGGAGGGTCAGGCTGCCAAATATCTACAGTAGATGGAACAAGAAATATCTTGTCCCCAAATGACATGAGAGCCTTTACTGAAAAATACTACTCATCTTTAGTTCTTGGGATGTTTGAGTTTGAAGAGTCCTTTTGAAGATTTTCTTCCCCTTCCTTTCCTCCTCTTCTCATCAGAAGACTGAGAAATAACCTGCTAACAGATTCGTATGAATTGGCCTTAGGTATACCTTTGATCGAATATAGCAGAGAAGTCACGGGGCTCCTTTACCTCCTCTGTGTGTACATATCACAAATGCGTGGGCTGGGATTTACCTGGTTGGGCCCAGACATTGTCTTAAAAACTCAGACATTCCACCGAAGTCCTTTGTTGGACACGAGGGCAGTATGTTAACAATTGAGCCAGCTCAGAGAACAGCAGGATTGCTGGAATGTTCCTGAGATCAGGCAGCACTGATAGTATGTACCTGCTTAGCTGTCTTGGTCACTGGAGCTGAATGGAGCTGCTCCCTTAGGGTGGGTGTGAGCTCTGCCCCTCCCTGCTGTCTCCCCAGGTCAAGGCTGAATGCCCGTGCCATTCCTCACACTGTAGGGCTAGGCAGTTTGTCTCAGAGACATATTTTGCAAAACCCGTACTTTAATCAAATGCAGAAGAACAAAAGCTGGAGCAGGGACTATTTTCATTTATTTATGTTACCTATGTGGCCCAGTAGGAATTTTACGTGGCCAGTAGCCTGTTTTTGTAAATAAAGTTTTATTGGGCCACAGCCACATGCATTCATTTACATATTTTGTGCTGCAGTGGCAGAGTTGAGACGTGGTGACTGAGACCATGCCCGACCCTGCAAAGCCTTAGCTATTTACTATCTTTATACAATCCTTTGTAGAAAATGTTTGCTAGTTCCTGGTATGAACTAAGGTATTTAGAAGTGACCGAACCTATTTTCTTGTTAAGGCAACCTGTGGAAGAAGCAGGGGAATAACATCTGCTCACAGAGCCTGCAATTATCCTATAGTAACACAGGTTGCAACCTGTTTGCCTTGCCAGCAGGCTGCTAACACAACCTATACATGTGTGGGGGAGAAAAATCATAACTCATTTTACCTGAAATGATTCGCTTTTCCTTTTTTAAATGTTCCATATTTGTTATCAGATTATTTTGATGGAGCAGGAAGCATTTACAAGTAGCAGATAAGGCAGGTATCTGATTGACAAGGAGATTATCAGGGAGCTAGTTCTCAGCCACAGTTACTCTCAGGAAAGGACAGAGTCTCCTGAGTAGAGACCAGATCAGCCTGGCACTCACTCTTCAGGCTCCTCTTGGAACACCTAGCCCCGGGCAGATGTGGGACAGAGCCAAGAACCTGGGGGAAACTCATCTTCTGAAATGACAGTATCCTGGCTTCTATATAGGTAGAAAGGACTTGGGTTGTCGGTTTCAGGGAGATTAGCTGTCATACTTGATTCTTCCAGTTTTATTCAGATCTTAACGACTCTTTTCCATCCTGTTATTAACTTACTGAGAGGAAGTCGGGCAATGAAACATACAACTTATTGCTAGCATCCTGGAAGAGCCCACTCAGGTGAGAAATAGTTCCGCTCGCTCAATATGCACCATTTCTCCTCTTTCAAGCCCCCAAAGCAACTTGGCCATTTTCCTAGGCAGATAGCAGCTCTTTAACTGAGGACAGTCTTGTCCCCTAAGGGATATATGGCCATGTCCGGAGACATTTTTTGGTTGTCATAGTTTTATGCATGGGGGCTGCTACTGGATCAGGCGAGGGATGCTGCTAACGTATCACACAGTGCACAGGACGGCCTCCCGCCACAAAGAATTCTCTGGCCCCAAATGTCACTAGTGCCGAAGTTAAGAACCTTTGCTCTAGAAGCCATTATCTTTTCATGTCCCCATCTATTATGTTTCTAGTGTCTTCCTAATTTTCAGGGTTTTTTTCCCTCTAGCTTTTTTCATTAAGCAAGTTATTTTTGAACTACAGAGAATGTTCTCAGAGGGGGGTCACTCAATCATCAGAATCTCTTCTGCATCCAGCGTCATTTTAACTGGGTCACAGGGACAAGAGAAAGCTCTGGGACACTCAGGTGTGAGGCCTTGCTCTGAGCCTGGGGGTGGAGGGGAGGTCAGATCGGTCTTTTTAACCTGATTTTCTCATCTGTCAAGTCAGTCTAGTCGTTTCCATCCTGAGTACCCTCCTCTATGGCTTGCTGGGAGGATAAACTGAAGACGGTGTGTATGACCAAATGTTGAAAAACATGGCACAGAAAGAATATCGAAACCGTGATGTCATTCTCTGGAAACCCAAGTAGAACGCTCTATTTTAAACGCGTAACCGAAACAGGGAAATAACTGCTTAAGAATTAGGCAATCACCCTAAAAAGTCTTAGTAATTTTCTCAGAAATGAGGGCAGGGAGGCTTAGAAGGGGCGATAAACAAGGATCTAAGTAAACATCTGTGAGGCATCTCTTTATCAAGGAGCGGAGAAAGAGCAGGCATTTTGAGAACATCAATACCTCCTGATAAAAAAACCCCAGGAACCGGACACGGGTTTCTGCAATCTTGGCCGTCTTTCCCGTTATCCTGGAGGTCCTAGCCATTAAAATAGGAAACAAAGAAAAGTATTGTAAAAATATTAGACATGAGCAGACAAAACCGATGTTACTCAGAGATAAGATTCTTGATCAACAGACTATTAGAACTGTTGATATGAGAGCAGTATTAGTAATCTTAACGGTGTTTCTGTGTACCAGCAATAACGATTTAGAAAACACAGAAGGAGATCCCATTCATAGCATCAACGAAAATTATGCAGTCTCTAACCAGTATATGAGATCTTCATGGAGGAAACTGTAATGTTTTATTGAAGGACGGGAAAAAAGCTTATTATACAAGGATGTTTATTCAAAGATAAGGTACTGTGGTTGTGGCCAAGCTATTCTCTATGGAATCGAGACTCAGAGTGGGTTGAGTAACTTTGTCAAGGTCACACAGCCAGTTACCTCCAGGTCATCTCGATGTTGACCACCAGGCTTTCTTTCTCATGCTTCCTAAACAGGATTTCTCATTGGTTTCTGAGTGATTTTATGCATTCAGAGTATGGCTTTGTAGGATTCTGTGATATATCTTTAGGGAAATGTTTCTCTTGATATTTTGGGGTAGCTTGGGGTATGGCTTCTATGAATTGGCCACCCATATCATCTTTCTGCTGTTGGTAGTTCTAAGTAGGTGATGTGGCTTCTGATAGATGAGGACATACCACATTTAAGAATTGTGGCTTTGGGAAGTGACTCATTGGCTCATGGTACTTTATGCATTCGGGATAGACTTAAAAAATGGGTGATCATTTTTTGGTGACTCAAGTCCAATTAACCTATTTTCCACAATCCCGCTGTTGAAAGAATGCCAGAGCAAATTGTCATACTTTTGTACTTTTAGACTTTGTTGGGCCCTTAACTGTCTTAGCAGTACTAGTAATGGTGACACTTTGTTAAAAGCTTATATTATATCATCTCGTTTAATCCCAACCGCAGTACCATCCATGAAGACAGGTGGTATCATCCCTGTTTTACAGATGAGAAAATTGAAGCTGAGAGGTTAAGAAACTTGCCCCAGGGTCGTGCATCTGGAAGATAAAATTTGAACCCAGATACACCTGAGTTGTTTGGCGCTATCCTGCTAGTGCCATCTGTTTACTTAGACACCAGGTTTTCAATCAACATCCTCTTAAAATAGAAGAAAGAAAAAGAATCTTAATGTTGAACGACCTGTAAACCCTGTAAACTTAGTAGAAGTAACCCAAGATGGCTTTTTTTAATGAATGAATGTGTGAAATGCTGTAATTTTCTTTTGTTGTTATTGATGTATTTGTTCGAATTTCCTTTTGAGAATGCACATTTGTTTTGAAACCAAACCTGTCTTTCTTGCCTACATTTCAGTCAGAACTAAGACATGGTCCGTTTTACTATATGAAGCAGCCACTCACCACAGACCCTGTTGATGTTGTACCGCAGGACGGACGAAATGATTTCTACTGCTGGGTTTGTCACCGGGAAGGCCAAGTCCTTTGCTGTGAGCTCTGTCCCCGGGTTTATCACGCTAAGTGTCTGAGACTGACTTCGGAACCAGAGGGGGACTGGTTTTGTCCTGAATGTGAGGTTAGTTCCTGATGAACGAATGCGTTATCTGCCTCATTTCTTCTCCTTTTGCTTTATTCCTTTTATTTTTAATTCTTCAGATCATATGTAGATACAGGGAAAAAGAGGAATTTCTTGCCTGTTTCACCCGCTGTATTCTGGTCACCCACTTTTTGGGACCAGTGTTGGCAGTGGTCTCAGCCCTTGGAAGCTTTTGGAAAGACAAATTGCATTGACTATTTTTTTTTGATTCTTTGGATCACTTTGGGATCTGCAACCTTCTCTGATTTCTTCTTTAAATGAACACTTCGGAAGTTAACTTACAAACCTTGAACAGTTCACGTATTCTGAGAGATCTCATGCTCTTTTCCCCCTTCTTGGACATCATCTCCTGCTACGTCATTGAGTCATCGGCAGTAGCCAGACTTAGAACCAGTGTTGGTTGGTTGTATGTCCATGTGATTGCTATCTGATGCTTCCGTTTACGCAGCAGCTACTTCTCCCGTGCTGCTTAGGTGCCAGGGGATCGACAGTGAGCAAAAAGGGGCACGGATCGATCACATTCTTTTCAGGAGAAAAGGACAAAAGCCAACATAAGTAGTTACATACAGTGCGTTAGAAGAATGTTCTGGAGAAAATGAAGATGAGGAATAGGGGTGAGGAGGGTGCAGGGTGTGTCCATTTTAAATGAAGGGGTCCAGGAAGGCTTATCAAGATTTGAGAAAGGAAGAAGGGAGGAGTGAGCCACACAGCTGGCGGGAAGACCCCCCCAGGCAGAGGGCACCGCGGGTTCCAGAACCCCAGGCAGAAGCGCACTGGCATAGTGAGGGGAACATGTATATTTCATCTGTGGCAAGGCCTAAACACTCTTTATTAAAACAATTATTTCAGTTTCCACTTATTCTAAGTGTCTTCTGTCCTTGGTGATTTCCAACTCTGACGCTTTTTCAAAATGCCAAAAATAAGAGTGTCATCTACGAAATCATTTACTATCCAAGTGAATGTCACTTGGATTCAAAGGCAGATTGGAATTAGATCTCTAACAAGGGAAGCTGGAAAGTTCTCCCAGATGTCTTTAGTGGGGGAAAAAAAAGCAAGCTATAGGACAGTGTCTGTGGTTCCGCTTTTGTATAGGGCAAGAAGAAAAATAAGAAGTAGATGAAAATAAATTAGACGTCAAACCAATAGGATGATGACGTTTTAATGGTGTTCTGCCCCTAGAATATCAAAAGATGGCCACTGGTTCCCTTTGGGTTACTCTGGATGGCAGACGTAGAGGACACATTGCTCAGCAAAGCCTTCTTATTCACAGCCTGACCTCTTTCTTCTTCCTCTATTTCCTTTTGTCTTGATCAACCTTGTCCTTCCTTAAAGTTATTGTTTAATAATTTTGCAAAAAAAGATAGTGGCTCAGGGAAGATGCCTTTGCTGCAAATGATAGGTCTTGATGAAAGGTGGCTGAAACCATAGGGTTTTATTATCATGTGTAGAAAGAATCCAGAGGCAGGGCCAGCCCAGAATTTGTTCAGAGCCAGACGCTGCCCATTCCATTGTTGAGGTGACACGTCCCTCCTGGCCCGAAGATGGCAACTGGGGGTTTTATGATATGTGGCTAGATAAAAGTGTCTCTGTTCGTATCCCTTTTTATCAAGGAGAAGGACTTTGCTTTTCACCTTCCAGCTGACTTGCCCTTGGATTCATTGGTTGCCAGTCCTCATACAAAAAAAGCCTTGAAAAATTCCTGTTTGGCACTCGGAGTCTAATATTTTGGGAATCGGGCACTGGGAGAAAGGGGTCGGGGATGTTGGGGAGAAAAGCCGAAAGACAGTTGAGTAGGCAACCCAAGTGTTCACCATGGGTGGTAGTTACCTGGAAACGGGCAGGAATTTAAACAAACAGGTGTTCTGTGTCTAGGATTTCAAGCCCTGATTTTGTCCCAGGGTGCATTGGTGGGTCAGTCAACAGGGGAGACGAGCTGTTCTCAGGCTCTGGTAGCTAAGCAATCAGATACTTGCGTCACGTACCGTTTTCAGCTTCTGAGGGACTCTTGTGTTGCCCTTTTCCTCGACAACCAGACACATCTGAAAATTCCTTTTGGAAGATCCGGAGATATGAAGAATGGAAATGAAATCCAAATTAACTGGAGAAAACTTTTCTCAGCTCTCCCGACACAGATGGTTAAAGAGTGTTTCCTGACATCAGAATTTGCTATTTCTGTCGTTCCTGCTACATAAGGATTCTGAAGCTCAGAAATATAGGACCAGATTTACTTAGCAGAATCTGGTTTCAGACATTTCTCTGGGTCTCTTCTTTGATGAGAATTTCCCTTACAAAATGACAGTTATTGCCCCATGGAGCTAGACAGCTAGACTATGCTTCTCTTGTAGTTTGTCAGAATGTCCTTAAGCGGGTTCACATCAGGGGTGACAGAGACTTAAGTCATATTTATTATTAGTTCATTACCATCCCTTGGATTCTTTCTGTTGGAAAGACTGTCTCTTTCCAGTGATGTCATTGAGTTAATACCTTGTCAGTTTCCTGAAAGGTAGCCTAGAACCTCAAGAAGATCAAGATAAGTGGCTCATTCATTTTATGAAGAGATCATCTGAAACCAACAGTGGCCTTTCATTTCATCCCATTCTTGAAGCCCAAGGTTATAATGATGATTTTCAGGTCCCTGCCTGCCTGTACTTTTCTCAGATTATGTCATCTTCATGAACAACAACCAAAAAAAACAAACAAACAAAAAACAACCAAAAAAAACGCTTCCTGATGAGGTAATCAATGGATTGGTATGCTTCTTAATTTTTATCCACTGATCTAGGATATGGTCAAGTAGATCGGAATCCTTGTCAAGTGAAACAACTAGTCTCATTTGGAGGGAAATTATTTTTTATGTGTGAGCTTACCGGAAAATCAGGAGGAAAGGGAAATAAGTATATAGATAGTAACTTTTTTTTTCTAACTGGACATTTGTGTGATTTTGACTTGTAGAAGATTACAGTAGCAGAATGCATCGAGACCCAGAGTAAAGCCATGACAATGCTCACCATTGAACAATTATCCTACCTGCTCAAGTTTGCCATTCAGAAAATGAAACAGCCAGGGGTAAGAAGAAAGTTCCTCTTGGTAAAAGCGTGAATGGAAATAGTGACCTTTGTTTTGTTCTGTTAACATCTTATTCCATGTAACCTTAGCTTTCCAGACACCTGTGCATACTCTTTGGGCCTTCTTATATGCCTGAATTCAAATACCTGTAAATGAAACACAAGGTATGGTGGCATTCAGTTAATTCTTTATACAGTGAACACTCTGTGTCCTCAAGGACTTTAATTGGGAAATGATGTTTAGTAGAAACTTGGTGGGGGTTTAAAATTCTGATTGGTTATGTGATGAAACCTCATAGCCCATCGGGGGAGGGGAAGTTTTGTGCTCCTTCCCATAGGAGTTAGTACAATTCCATAGCCATGAAAAAGCTGAGTACAACCCAGTTTATTTATAATCTAGGTCTGATGATGAAACCAAGTAAAATTCAGCCAGTGAGATTTCCCATAAAGGGTGAGAATTTGGTTAAGTTCCTTCAGTTTTGAAATGAGATTTGATGTATATAGCCTTTACCCCTTGAGGAAAACCTGTGTGTGAAGCAGGGCTGCCACAATCAGCTGACAAGTTGTGTATTTCACGTGGTTTCTCTCCTGAGCCTGAGTCATGTTGTAGCCATGGTGGTTTTAGTTTTTTTGGTGACAGTTTCAGGAAGATGGCAGTAAAATACCTCGCCTTTAAAAATAATCAGTGTGTTATTGCCAGTATAATCCATATATTATGATCATTTTCCTACAGAAACTGGAGGGTGAGGTCTCCTGTTCTGATTGGCACAGAGACACCATTGGGTCCAGTGGTGAATCTTTATGAAACTCTTCAGAGTTTGCTTTCTAAGTCAAATGAACACACAGAAACATAGAATCTAAGGGCTTTTAGTAGCCACTGTGGTTTAATTTCTTTAAAAAAATAAGCTTTAGTTTTGAGATTCTGAAATTTGGTATCATGATGAAAAAAATTCAGAGCATGCCAATTGGGAGTTGCTAAATTGGGAAACTCTGTCTCTTTAACAAAATCTCTGTCATTGGAAGCAAAAGTATATAGCCTTGGTTTGGTAAAAAACACAAACTTTTTAAAACTACAGACTCCTATATGTTGAGTGGTAAGGAATTATTTCCTGTTTTTCATAGGCTGAATTTATGTATCTGCTGAAGACTATTTACAAAAAGAATAGATTCATGTAGACTTGTCAACACTGTAGAATTATAAACCAAAAAGAAAAATCAAAGAAGGCCTTAATTTCTCACATAAATTGCTTGATATAAAATCAATCAGAAAGTTGCTGATTTTGTGGAAGCATCTTTTCAACTTACAATGGCTCTACTTTCATTCTGGATAAAAGAAGACTTGGATGCTTGTAAATGGTAGCCTGTGCAGATGCCTTGCTTGAGTATAATTTGGTGTTTAAATAAATCTTTTAGATTTGTTTTTTGTTGATAAGTAAATACTACCCATCCATAAACTGGGGCTTGCATTTTGAGCTGATTCAAAGAGGGTAATTTGGCTTCTCAAAGGAGGAGCAAAATTTTAACTGTTTAAATTTTGCCCCCATGTGTAAAAATATCTGTTGGCACTTAGGTTTTGGTATTTCACCGTTAGTTTTAATGCTGGGCCTCATTCAGAATTCAGGTCTACAGTAACTGATGGTTCTCGTCAGTCTTAAACGGACAGGACCTGTAATTCACATATACTTGAAAACAAAACAAAAGCAGAGCACAACTGGGCCCATGGTTATTGAGAATCAGGCAGAATTAGGAGGGAAACCAATCTGGAGCTCCTCAAGGTCATGCTTTGTGGAAACTTTTAGAACCATACTGTCCGAAAGGTTGTCCCTATTTTTAAAGTGCTTCACTGGCGTTCGTTCTTGGTCTTCCCCAGCAGTGATGGGCTTGTGTCTGTGTGTGCATCTTCTCTTTTATAGACAGACGCATTCCAGAAGCCTGTTCCATTGGAACAGCATCCCGACTATGCGGAATACATCTTCCATCCCATGGACCTTTGTACCTTGGAAAAGGTTGGCCTCCATCACAGAACTTCACCATTGTAGGCCACAGTTGTCGAGATGACTCAGGATCCTCCCTCATTTTTCGTGCCTTATCTCAAGTTAGATGGTTTCTCTACATTTCCTCTGCGCCATTTTTATTGGGGTAGAAGAATGCTTGACCCCCTACTTCTTCTGTAACATTCTTCCAAGGATTACAATGGAACATTGAAATCCACTGATTAGCTGCAATAAAACTTTTGCTAGTGATTCTAGCTTATCGCCTGAATTAGCAATGTGACGGATTTGAACCTCCTCTTTTTTCGGAGGTGCTAATGAAAGCAGAAAGGAAGAGGGAAAAAAATTAAGTATCTGGGAAAGCTTCAGATTAGCACTAAAGATGTGTCTTTGTAGAACTTGACTTAGCCTACCAATAAAGATATTTCTTTAATGCCTGAACGTGTTATAAAAGTTCAAGATAGGAGCATTTGAGATTTTGCTCCCTGGTGTATGTCATCAGTTTGGCTGAAATAAACTCTTATAAAAAAAAGATAAGTTCGTGTAAAATTCCATGCTGAAAATTATGCTCGTAACGCTTTAGATGGTATATGACATCCTAGTGTTGATTTCCAAATCGTTGGGAGCCAAAATATGGGTAAAGAAAGCACGTATGAGGAGAAAACGTTACTTCATATTGTTTGCACTGATGACTCCCAGACAATAAGTCTAACTTATTTTGAAAATTGCACACACCAGCATGATATTCAAAGAAGACAGGGTTGGAGTCCTAACTTCATAAATTAATAGCCTTGGAACTCAGGATAAGTTCCTTAACATTTCCATACCTCAGTTCCCTTGTCTTTAAAATGGGGATGGTAGTAACTGCTTCACTGAGTTCTCAATCATGAGGCTTATGGGAGACTGTTACGAATAATAATAATTACATAAATATATATAATATCCTGAATCATTGGAATAAGCTGCTTGATAAATGACAGCTGTTGTAAAATGAAAAAATTGAAGTTAGCGTGATAAATTCATTTTTATAGAGTTATAGATCTCAAATATAATAGCATCTTGGGAAATGAGTAAAAGCATTAATTAATTGGGCAAATAACTGCTAAGAAAATTATGTGGGGGACGCAGGTGTTATTGGCTGTGGCTTGTAGAGACTCACTGGTGATTATACTCTGCCTTTTCTCCCTAGAACGCTAAAAAGAAAATGTATGGCTGCACAGAAGCTTTCCTGGCTGATGCAAAGTGGATTTTGCACAACTGCATCATTTATAATGGGGGTGAGTGGTTTAGGTGACTCCTAAAAAAGAGTATGCTGTGTGTGTTGCCCATTCTTTGCCTCTTCATAAAAAAAAAAATTAGGCTCTTTTTTCATGTATCAGAGCCAATAACCGTGAATACTTGTGTACAGATTGCTAATATTTGTGACTAGGGGCCGGTGAATATGTGTGTTTTAAAATATGAGCTAATGTCTAGAGTGGTTTGTGGATATACGAAGCTGCTACTTGTCCTTTTTAAAAACTTTATTTCGATGGAGGAATAATTTGCGTACAATAAAATGCAACGATTTTACATGTATATTCTATGAATTTGACGTACACGTAACCACCTGTGTAACCACAACCCCAAATAAGATCTAGAACATTTTCATTGCCCTATTGTATTCCTACTTTCCTCTTCCCAGTATATTCACCCTCCTCTAAAGAAACTGCTGTTTTGTTTTCTGTCACTAGAGATTAGTTTTGCATATTCTAAAATTTCATCTAAACTGAGTCAGATTGTACTCTTTTGAGTTTGGCTACTTTAATGCAGCATGATATTTTTTGGATTCATCCATGTTGTGTGTGCCAGAGGTTTGTTTCTTTTTATTGCTGAGTGTTTTATTTTTTTAACATAAATTTTTTTCATTCACCTAGTTGTTGATGGACATTTGTGTTATTTTCAGCTGTGGCTGTTATGAATTAAGCCACTGTGAACATTCTTGTTCAAGTCTTTGTGTGGACATATGTTTTCATTTCTCTTGGGTAAATACCTTGGAGTGGTATTGCTGGATCATTGAATAGGTTTATATTTAACTTTATAAGATTTTTCGCCAAGCTATTTTGCAAAGTGGTTGTATCACTTTGCATTCCTAGAATGTGTACAAAGCTTTCAGTTGCTCCATATCCTTGTGAGCGTTTGGTATTGTCTGTCCTTTTAACCATTCTTGAAGGTGCGAAATATATCATAATGGTTTTAATTTACTTTTCTCTAGTGACCAATGGCGTTGAATATCTTCATGTACTTTAGTCATTTATATATATATATATTTTTTTTGATAAAATATCTTTTCAGATCTTTTGCTGATTTAAAAAATTAGGTGGTTTGTATTTTATTATTGTGTCGTAAGAGATCTTTATATTTTAGATGAAGTTTTGTCAGTTGTGTTTCCATGGGCTTAGAGGATTGAGCCTTCTGGACAGAATGGAGGCGGATTTCCATTAAAATCTCCTCTCATGGCACCTTTCCCATTGCTCCAGCTTCTCCCACAATCCTTTCTGTCTACCTTCTGGCCAGTAGATCTTTTAGCGTCTTGCCCGATCTATTCTTCTTGTACCCAGATCCTCTTGTCTTGGAACACTCCTTACTTCTTTGTCTTGATATCTTTTCCTTATCCTTCAGTCTTAGCTTCTCAGTCCTCTGGAGGGCTTTCCCTCATGACCCAGACCATATTATGTGCTCTTGTTAGGGGCTGTCACAGTACTTGTACTTCCCTGTGGCAGCATTTATCACACTTTCTGGATGTTACTGTTTTTATTTGTTTGAGTAGCTCACAAGGATGTGAGCTCTTTAAGGACACATACCACATTGTGTTCCCAGCATATCCTCGGGTCTAGCATAGACTTTTAGCTAATGTTTAGGTGAAAGATGTATGAGTGGATAAATGTTTGCTTAAAACACACTTTTTGTATTATTAGCTCAGTAGCAGGTTTGAGGGTGAAGGGAAGGGAGAGAATCACTAGACATTAAGAATTCATATAAAGATTGTAAACTCAAACATATAGAAAGGCCCGTCAGATCATATACACAAATGAGTGAGGTCTGGTGGGAGAAAAACATCAAGCACGAGCCAGGATGGCTGTTGGCTGTGGGGCGAGCTGGAGACTCCAGAGAGCAGGGAATTCCTACCTAGTCTGGAGAGGTCACCACTGGACATGCCATGGTTTATTGGGTTCGAGTTATCAGATCTTCTAGTTTTTAAGGCAAGCCAGACATCTAGGTATTTATGTGCGTGTGCGAGAAATTCTTGGTGAACAAATTTACAATTTCTGAAAATACAGTTAACATTCGAAGAAAACGTGATTTTCTGACTATCTTGTCCTCTGGTTTAGTGCAAAGTCAAGGAATTTAGAATTAGATCTAGGGTCAGGTCCTCAACTCATTAGTGAAGTGGTCTCACATAAGTGATGACTGCTAAGCCTTGGCTTACTCGTTAATGAAATGGGAAGATTCACATCTTCTTGCTAATATGGCTTCCTGAGGAGTTAACAAGAAAATGTATTTTGAAGTACCAGGCATACCAGAGCCATTCAGTTAATGTCTTCTTTCCCCCTTATTCTTCTTGGTTCAGAGTCTGGGTAGAGTAGGGATCTTTTCTACTAACTTGAGACTTTAGAATGTAAAAGCATCTTTCAAATATTAATCCATGAATTATCGGGAAACCCCACAAATCACTCAGTTTCCGAAAAAGATGACATCAAGGCACCAGAGATTGGTTGATAGTCACCGGAGAAGTCAGATAATTTGAAACCAGTATCAGAAGGCAGAACCTTTTGATTTTCAGTGTAATCCCAAGACTGAGTGTTCCAGTGTTTCTATTTGAATTAATCCTATTTTCTTATTCCCCTTAGGAAATCACAAATTGACGCAAATAGCAAAAGTAGTCATCAAAATCTGTGAGCATGAGGTATGTGTTTCCCACTGTTGTGTTTTAAATGCACCCCAAGTGAGGGTTGGGGTACCTGAAATTTCCATTTGTAGAATTTCCCATTGGGTAGCTAAAGTGGTTTTGAAATTTTTGGAGTAAAAGCAACAAAGAGAGGACCCCAATATGTTACAGAGCACGCTTACGTTAGCTGTGATCTCAGGTGGAAATGACCCATTTATTTTTCAGCTGTGAGTCATGGGCAAGCGCTGGGCAACCTGAGTTCTCTTGGTTGCATAGGTAGAGCTCATAATTTCTTCACCCCACAATCTGTGGCCTTGAGTCAGGTCTTTTTCAGTCTTCTTGCTGAACATGTTTTTGAGTTTTGACATTATTGGAGGAAAGGTCCTGACCCTCAGGGTATCCCGGAGAATCCCTCTTGTAAATATCCACGGGATTGCTGTGTGGATGAAATGAACCTCCTGGGCTGTGAGCCCTGAGGTTCAGGCTTTTGTGGGACAGGCTGGTGGCCGAAATGCTATGAGGAAGGCTTTATTAGATCCTCATTGTACGAGTGAAAAAACGGAGCTGCAGTGGCCTTCAGCCTATTTTTTTGTTCTTTCATTCATTTGTAAATGAGACATCGGAGAGTCTTGGGATGTGTTCATGTCTACATATTTCCATAGAGGTTTATAATCTACATTTTCTACTTAGTTTGAGGGTTAGCCTAGGTAATTTACACACAGGAAAAACAGAATTTTTTATGGCTATTTTGATGACTTTTTTAGTATAGTTGTTAGAAATGTACATATCAGGTAAACATGGCAAAGGCTTTAGGTAGATATTTTTTGATTGTCTTTTGGAAAAGCTGTAGCAACTCATACAGCAACCTGGAATGGATAGATAAGTGTGGTAGTTTTTTCTGTGTCCTTTTCAATACTGGAAGTTCTAATTTAAAAACATTTATGTTTATAAGTTTTTCCCCCAGTGTGACCAGTAAAAACACAGTGGAATCTCACTGTGATTTTTGGTTTGCATTTGTTGGATGACAAGTTGTCATGGGCTATTTTGGATGTATTCATTGGTGATTTGGAGTTTTGCATGGGTGAGTTCTTCACTCATTTCCCTGTTGGGAATTTATTTGTTTTCCTGGAGCTGAAGCCTAGGTGTTTTGTTTTGTTTTGTTTTGTTTTGTATATGTGCTGCCGAAGCTAGCACGAAGCTTAGGCTTTTAATTGGTGGGGTTCCCTGACATAGAATTTACTGAACCCAGATACCCTGAATGGCATCTTTGAATCTACCTGTTGGCTACACACTTCTGCTTTGTGGGCTCCCAGGCCAGGGCTGTCCTGGATGTGATATTACCACTTTGTTCTACCTTGTACCTTTAGAGCAGAAGTAGACTGAGTAGAAGAAGGTAATATATTCCACCATTCGTTCTTCAATTATAAGTATAAATTATCATCATAAAATAATTAATAATAACTAATTAAACACCTGCTGTGTATTTGGTACCTTGCAAGATACAGGAGATAGAAATAAGTCTGATGATGATGATAAGATAACAGCAACCAGTAGGACAGCGGCGAAGCACAGGGGCTTTTGGAGCCTGACCGCCTGGGTTCAGATCCTGGCCCTGCCGCTCTGCCGCACCGAGACCTTGGGCAGGTTACTTGACTTCTTGGGGCCTCATTTTCTTTTTCTGTAAAACAGTGGAGTGTAAATTCAGATCCAAGAAAGAAACTTCCGGGGCCCTTGGTTCTAAGTCATGATGATACTTAATTTCCCAAGAGGGAGAACGACTGTAAGTTATACAATTTTCAGATTGTCGTCAATGGAAGTAAAATAGGGCCACATGATATTAATTAACTGCTCTGGACGGTGTATGTAGAGAGGCATAGAAACAGAGCATGGCAAGTGGAGGCCAAAGTGGCCGGAAGGCATCAAGAAGGAAGCTCAGACAGGTGGGCTGAGGCCAGATCACACATGGTCTTGAAAGAATTGATCGGGTGTTTAGAGTTCAGTGTTAGTTTCTCAACCTTGGCACTACTGCCCTTTGAGGCTGAAGACTTCTTTGTTGTAGGTGCTGTCTCGTGCATCGCGGATCCTTGTTGCAACTGTTTCCTCCATCCCGAGTTTTGATAACCGAAAATGTCTCCAGACATTGCCAAATGTTCCCAGAGGGGTTAAACTGCCCCGGTAGAGAACCACCGGTATAAAGGGAGGGACTAGATCAGATTTATGTTTGTAGAGGATGGCTTTGGCTGCTGTGTATGTGTGAAGAGTGAACCACAGTGGAAGCTGGAAGACAGAGAGGCATGATGGTGGCTTGGGCTTGGTGGATGTGTAGTGATTGGTGAGAGGTAGTTTCCCACTGTATGACTTGGTTTAGCTAATCTCTTCTGCCAAATATCATCATGCATTTCTTGAGGGCCTAGAAGTGTAAGGCTCCTGGGATGACACATTCTAACATATTTTTGCTTTACAGATGAATGAAATTGAAGTATGTCCAGAGTGTTATTTAGCTGCTTGCCAAAAACGAGATAACTGGTTTTGCGAGCCTTGTGTAAGTTGGATTTTCCTTTCTTTACTTCATTTTTTGAACTCTATGCCCGGATGACTACCCAAGACAGCTTTTTCCAGGTGGCTTATTTGATGAAACTTGGGATGAAGTTTTTAAATTAATCAATGTCTTGCTGATAAAGTGATGGCAGAGTGAAAGTAATGCAGGTAGGATTAAACCTCTCCAGCTGCAAGTTCATGTGTCAAAGGTAGCATCATGATAACTGGGTTTTATCAGCTGGGGCAGACTGCGGGAGTCTGAGTGAAAGGGAGCTCATCAGAGAGAGGGGGCAGTCACCAGAGTAATGCAGATGAGTGTTAACCGATTGTTTCATTTACATGGATTTACATTGTCTAAACTAGTGTTCTGTGGAGAGAAATGCAGTTTTGGGCTGGGCTGGTGGTGATGGTGGGGGGCAGGATTGAGAACGTAGTTCATGTCTCTCTCTGCCTTTGGAGATTAACACCTGAATAGGTAAGACTTTGAGTAGCCCTCAATAAAGAATAAAGGTGGCTAATACTGCCCCTTATTCCGTGCTAAGTAAAACAAGCAATTAAACCTCCCGCTTAACAGAGGGTGTAGTAGGTATTACTGTCTGTGTTCCACAGAAAGAATAAAGGTGGCTAATACTGCCCCTTATTCCGTGCTGAGTAAAACAAGCAATTAATCCTCCCGCTTAACAGAGGGTGTAGGTATTACTGTCTGTGTTCCACAGAAAAGTGGAATCCCTTGCTCATGGTCACCCAGGTAATAGCAGCACCACCAGGATCCAAGCCCAGTTCTGTCAGTGTCAAGTTCTTGGTTTCATCATTTTAACCCCATGCTCATCTTCGCCCAGGCTTACTGGCCCCACACCTCCCGGGGAACACCACTCGGGGAGACCCTGCCTGAAACTGTCCTCATTCAGTTTGTCGCGTGTATCACCTCTACCTTGCTTTATCCTCACACACCAAGCTTTTTACGTGTGTTTCTTTTTGTGAAATACATACCAACTCGGGATTTTGTTTTTTCTTTTCCTAGAGCAATCCACATCCTTTGGTCTGGGCAAAACTGAAGGGGTTTCCTTTCTGGCCTGCGAAAGCTCTGAGGGATAAAGATGGGCAGGTGGATGCCCGATTCTTTGGACAACATGACAGGTGGGAGTTAAAATCAGGCTGCGGATATGTAGCTTTCCCTGGACCTCTGATACTGGCAGTGGGTATGGGACGGAGCGGAGGGTATGATGATTATTTCGTTTTATTATGATATTAACCAGTACTCTTTGCAGTTTAAAAATACTGTCCTGCCTGGTAATGCGTGGGCTTCAGTTTTTTTTCAGGTATGTTAGAAAAGAATCTCGTTTTCATGGTTTTGATGATGAAACCAGCATTGGGTAAAAAACGTTCGTGACCCAACAGAAGTGATTCCTTCAGCTGCCCCAGAACCTCAGCAGGCACCTGAGTGTGGGTAGTGGTGGTGGCCTTGGGGAGGTGGGCTGTGGCGGTATTTTGGGGACCTGGTGCAGTGGCTTCGGGGTTTCACGAGAAACAACTTCCTATGGAAGCGAAGTAGAATTTCCTAAGAACATAATGGATGGGGTAGAATTTCATAAGAAAACCTACGGTGGCTGTGAAGGCTCCGACGTCACTTATGTCAAATCGATATCTTCGGACGGTCATGAATTTATTGTAAAAAGAGAGCAGGCATGAACGTCAGGAATAAGAACAGCCGTGTTGAGTGGCCCCGGTCGGTTTGCTGAGCACGAAATGAATGAAGTCAGTTGTAGAGAGATCCCTCCACATGTCCTATCAAAAGCCGGCATGTGTTTCAGTTATGAGGCTTATTGTACCAGCGGCTCCACGGAGATTCCTGAATTCTCAGTTGCGTCTGAAATTGCACTGGTACTGCTGTTGGCTACAAACTTCCTAGATGATTAAATAAAATACATTATAATAAACGGTTAACTTTTTTCAAAAGAAAGAAACCAGCATCGGAATAGGTTCCATGGCTATTTTAAGTGCTGCTGTGCTTTTTTTGATTTTTTCTTTTTTGTCTCCTGGAGTAAATTAAATTGCCACGCAAATTGCTTTTTTCCAAACAATGCTCTCGGGGATCAGAAGTATTTTCCCAGATTGCTAGTAAATGAATCTCCTATCATTGTGCCGAGTAGATACCCCCTGTTCCTTTTCTCTGAAGCTAAAACGGGAAATTCTAAGGAGTTGCTGTTTTGACAGGTGTGAGCCCTGCCTCCCAGCCTTTCTGCCCTCCCCTTTCCTTTGCCCACAGCGAAGTGAATTCTCCAGCGATTAGCAGTTCCCTTTAGAGTGCAGCCCCCTGCCTGCTTGAGAACAACAGGTAGACTGAGATGAGCAGCAGCTAATACCTTGGTTTTCTTTTAGCAAGTTAAGTTATGATTAAACGAGGCAAAGGCCCTTTTGAAGCCCTGCTGAGCAGTTTGAAAGAGCAGTTTGAAAGAGGAGAGTATTTAAAAGAGACATATTCTAGATATTATATACAACCACAGAACATACGGAATATTCCGTTTATAATTTTAAACAACACCGAAATCTGAACTATTGCTCTCTTTGTTAAATTTTCCTTGTCTTCTTGCAAATCAAAGAAAAGAATGAATTCCAGAGTTCATCTGCAAAATCATTTACTAGGAATCCGGGCTGTTGGGTGTCAGGTGACGAAATGGAAATTAGCCGAGATGGTCATGGGGTTTGATAAGGGAGTGTTTTTTAAAAATTTATTTATTTGTTTATTCAAAGAAATAAGTATTTGGTGCCTGCTATGGGCCAGGCTGTGTGCTCAATGCTGGGGATACAGGAGTGGGCACGCGGGTACTGTCTCTGCCCAGAAGGCTGATATATCCTAGTGGGGAATACAGATAATACACAAGTAGGCAGACAGGTGCGATGATCTCAGGTCAGGAGGTAGTGGGGGCGCCAAGAGATGATCTGGGTAGAGGTGCCAGAGAGAGTAGTGACTTGGGCAGGGAAGGGCCGCGGCCTGTCGTGCTCAGGAGAAGCCAGGAGCGCAGTGCGGTTTGGACAGGATGAGGGCGGAGAGGGTGATGAGAGAAGAGTCGGGGGCTTGGGCAGGGCCCCGGCCCCACGGGCTGTCATCAGGAGTCTAGCTTTTTATTCGAAGGGCAAGAGGCATTGGTGGCAAGTTGTACTTCTTCCTGGCTCTTCAGTAGAGCATGGCAGGTGTTAACCATTTTGATGGTTCGAAATTATTCTTATTCTATTGTATAACACGGAGCGGATAGACTTAGGACATGGGTGGAGGAGAAGCAGTGCTTGCCCATGTGCGCCAAGTGGTCCCATACCCTTAGAGCCTTCGATTCTGCATTCTCAGTGGTGCCTGCCCTGCAGGCACCTCTTAGTCCTACCTGACCGCCACTGAAGATGGCTTGGGGGCCCGGGCTTCTCTGGCTCTATGTCCAGGGGCTGTTTTCTCTGACTTGCAGGTGTAGGTTGGTTCTGGGTGGGAGCTGTTTTGGAAGTTGGGCCCCTGTGTTGGTAAAACAGACAGCAGCCCAAGTCTGATGCCCACGAGGTTTTCCTTACCACCCTGGATGTCTTCTGTCCCCTCGGAGGGAAGGTGCTGAGCTCTTGGGCTCATCTGAGGGGAGGGATGTGCCTTGAGCAAGTTGTTAGGACACCCAACAGTGGTAGTGACAGTGTGTCGGCATTGCAGGACCGTTTCAGCTGGCCAAGGCTTGGGGTCCCTGACAGCGGTGGGGAAGCCACTCCTAAAAGGAAGAGCATCCCTCCCTTCCCCGGAGATGTCCTTAAAGCAGAACCGGCCAGTGTGTCGCTAGCCCACCCTGGGGCGGACCCAGGGACACAGCATGGAGACTAGAGGGAGGCTGCAAGAGGTGTGACACGCTGTCCCTTTCGCAGGGAGCTTGCTTTGGGGCTGCAGAACCAAAATGTGAACTTGGGCAGGTAGGTGTAAGTGACATACGTCAAGGCAGCAGAATAAGAAATGTCACAGACCATTACATGTTCATCGTCAAGTTAATACTAGAGAAACGGGAAAGTTCGTGCACAAGTTAAGGCAAGCTCTCAAGAGTCTGTCTCATCACGTGCCTTTTGTCCTCTAAAAGACTTTGCTTTTATTTTTGGTTTTACTTCAGAGACACAATATTATAAAAATATGGGTAATATTTTATTACATGCCTATAGAACTATAAAAGAAATAGCTGGCATTTACTGAGTGGTGACTAGCACTGTTTTAAAGTGCTTTTCGTAGAAGTTGCTTTTATCCCCATTTTACTAATAAGAAAACTGAGGCCCAGAGTTGGGAAGTAGCTCAGCTGTGTGACTCTGTGGCCTCTCATGACATTGTTCCCCACAGGCTTTTATACTGTTAAGCAAATCTAATTTCCCTTTAAATATTTCCTGGGCCCGCTTAAAGGAAAAGAAACACTCTCCTCAAATCACTTGCCAGGCAACTTCAATTGAAGGCACTTGACAACCTGGTGGGAAGTAGATACCAGACGGGAGTGTGGGGACCTGGAAGTGTGGGGGCCCCGTCCTCACAGTGGAGGACTGGCTGACCAGTGCCTGGTGGTGCTGAGGCTGGCTTACGGTACATTTTATTTGCTCCCCCTTGGACCCCTCCAGGTTGGGGCTTGCCCTCCATTTTACTGACAGCTGAGGTTGGCTTAGGGAAGGGGAGTCACTTCTCTGCGGCAGCCCTGGGCATCCTCACTGCTCCTGGGATCTGCTCTGTCTGATCGGGACTCTTTGTCACCCAGTTGTACCGTGTGGGAGTCTCACCCGGGGGACATTGATTCCAGGCGGTTCCTCAGGTTTCAGCAGAATGACAGCAGTGAGTTGGACTGGGTGAGAAGTTGGTAATTCCACCACAAGGAGAGAACAGATATTTTGGGGGTGTTCAGTGTTCAGTTTTAGTTTATGTCACGAGTTAAAGATGAGACACAGCCAACCTGTGCCTTGAATTCTGCCTCTTGCGTGTGCTTTATTTCTCTTGGGTCATTTTTTTTTTTCTTTTAAAAATAGGAAGAAGATACCAACTGTTAAAATGTGGGTTAAATATAAGAAGTGTATCATTTTCTCTTTAAAACATTGGAAGACTGGTCTGTGTTGAGGCCAGATTCCTACGTGGACACTTTGAGAGCACCTGAATAGATGGTGCTTGTGTTAGTCTGGCTGTGAGTTTAATTCCTTCTCGCTCTCCACTTTGCTCCTTATTACTCTACACTGGGCTTTCGAGTTTATGGTGTGTGAAATCCAAAAGGCCTCCTTGGAAAAGCTCACTCCCACCAGATTTCCAGCTGCAAACGGGTTGAGGATGGGGGAGCAAATGTGACAGTTAAATCTTGGATGTTCCTGCATGGGAGTTGTGTTCCCATCTCCTGCCTGTTGTCAGTCGGGTCACTAATTCTAGAAGAGCAGCTCATGTTTCATGAAGTCTGTGCACAGCACACTGGGATGTGGGGTGTCGAAGGTAGGAAGACGGAGCCGATCTGGAATGGGAGGTGGAGGGCACACATACCTGAACGCTAAGGGGCTGTTTTTTCATTTTTTCCCCCCACGTGAATTATCTCCCATTCAAAAAACCATGCACCTCCTTTTAGAAAGGTTGTGGTTTTCCGATGCTGCTTCTTAGTCCCATGGAGAACCCCGATTTTAAAAGAGAAAGTTTTTTATGTTTGAGTGCAGAAGAGTGAGATTTGGAGAATAATCCTCTCGAGAGGTGTAGTCTAGGATATAGTGATGATTTTCTTAACTGTCCACCAACCCAGAGCCAAACGAGATTTATTATTTTTTAATAGATTAAAATGACTAAGTCTATCGTGTTTTTTAATGTTTTAGCTAAGTTTGTTGTCCAAGTTTGGCCTGATGACAGAACTTGTCTGTGAAGTGGATCATTTATTAACCATTCAAACCAAGTCTTTTTTTTTTTTCAAAATGAAATATGCATTTAAGAATTTTGGCAAGCCTATTAGGCTAATTTTCATTAAGGAAAAATCAATTCTGGAAGCAACCCGGAAGTCCACCTACAGATGAATGGATAAGAGAAATGGGCTATGTATATGCAGTGGAATATTACGCAGCTTTAAAAAGTATGTGACAACAGGGATGAAGCTTGAGGACATTATGCTAAGTGAAACAAGCTAGTCATGGACAAATACTGCATGACTCCATTTACCAGAGGCATCTAAAATAGTCAGATTCATAAACTCAAAGAGTGGAACGGTGGTTGTCCGGGGCTCGGGGACAGCAAATGGCGAATTACTAATAATGGACATAAAGTTTCATTTTAACAAGATGCATATGCTCTAGATAGTCACATAACCTTGTACCTATAGTCACCAGTAATATATTGTACATTTAAAGATTGGCTGAGAGGGTAGAACTCAAGTGTTCTTACTACAATACAATATATTTAAAAAAAAAAATCTTGGAAATGACCAAAGTCGATTTAAACTCTTTCTCTTTTGCACTCCTAGGGCCTGGGTTCCGATAAATAATTGCTACCTCATGTCTAAAGAAATTCCTTTTTCTGTGAAAAAGACTAAAAGCATCTTTAACAGTGCAATGCAGGAGATGGAGGTCTACGTGGAGAACATCCGCCGGAAGTTTGGGGTTTTTAATTACTCTCCGTTCAGGACGCCCTACACGCCCAACAGCCAGTACCAAATGCTGCTCGACCCCGCCAACCCCAGCGCCGGCGCCGCCAAGATCGACAAGCAAGAGAAGGTCAAGCTCAACTTCGACATGACGGCGTCCCCCAAGATCCTGATGAGCAAGCCCATACTGAGTGGGGGTGCGGGCCGCAGGATCTCCCTGTCCGATATGCCTCGCTCCCCCATGAGCACAAACTCTTCCGTGCACACGGGCTCCGACGTGGAGCAGGACCCCGAGAAGAAGGCCATGTCCAGCCACTTCAGCGCGAGCGAGGAGTCCATGGACTTTCTGGACAAGAGCACAGGTCAGCCCCTGGGGGGAGAGGGCGGAGGAGGCCCCAGGGACATGGAACGGGGTGAGGTTCCCATTGGTGCCATAACCTGGCGGTCCCAAGCTGTCTCGTGTCACAGAATCAAAGGGAGCTGCATGGGGTTTTGCTCCAGTGGAGCAGGTTTTAAATTTAAAATGAGTAACCCAATGAGATTCTTGCTGTTAGGGACCAAAAAGTGACAAAAAGCATCCGCAGCAGGTCATCTTGGAGGTTATTCCTAGCAGCGGGTGGATGTGGCTAGAAATCCTTCAGAGTTCAGTTCAGACGCCTCTTAGATTAATCATAACGATTTTCGTAACAGTCTTTTCTTTCTCAAGAATTTTAATTAAAACAGTATTTTTCTATCAAAAGCATGCATTCACATCATTTAACATTCAAATAGTAGAGAAACAAGCAAATAAATCTCTCTCCCCCGAGCTGTCCTACCCCTTAAAGGTCACCCTGCTAACAATTGCATTGCATTTTTGAGACTTGCAATAGTAGAATGGTTAAGAATGAGGACACTGGTCTCGAATCCCAGCTCTGCCACTCACTTGTTATGTAGCTTTAGGCAAGCAAGGTACCTAACCTCTTGTGCCTTATTTTTCTCATCTGTCACATGACGACAATAATAGGACCTGCTGCATAGGTTCTTGTAAGGATTCAATGAATCAGTCACACGAGGGCTTAGAACAGTACCTGGAGTAGTAAGTGCTACAAAAATGTTGGCAACTGCATTATTTCTTAATGGCGGTTGCTCATTAAATTACCTGTGTGGATTCAGAGGGGTGATGCACATGAGGGATGCTGACTGAGTGTGTAAAAAGTACCAAACGTAATTTGGTTGCATGTTAAATGCTTAAGAACTTTATTACTTGTACAAAGAAATGGGTTTACCCTCATTTTTCTTGAAACATGGCCTTCAGTGTTTGTCATATGTTTTTCCACTTTTGAGAGACATGGGCACAGACAAGCTTCTACCCAAAGCATGATGATAAAGGCTGGCAACCCTCAGGTGCTGGGCTGGGGCGACTGTTGAGGGGACGAGGACTTGTGAACCCCGGGCCCACGCCCATCTCAAGGGTTTCAGCCGTGGATGCCATGCGGGAATGTGGTGTCACGGTTTTCAGATCTTAACATTTCTTCCAGAGACCTGTGAAATCTGCATTTATCACTCAAATTTTTTATGTAAAATCTCAAGTATTGTCAACTCAGAATGTCTTAGACCAGTCCGGTCAAGATGGCGGAGTCAAATGTTGAAAAAGTAAAATGTCTTAGAATATTTTCCAGAATGAATAAAGTACATCGACAGGTTGGACCACTAGTGTGAGACTTTTGGCCAAACGGGGAATCTGGGGTAGCTTTTCAGACTCCCTCCCCTTTCCTCCTTCCCTTCCTTCCTTTACATAGTAAGATCTCTTTTAAGGATCAGGCATCTGTTCTTCAAATGACCACAAAGTCCCCAGAAAATCAAATGATAGGGACTTAGTCATTCGTGAACTCAATTCCCCCCATTTTGATATTGTATTGTTTCCTGTTTCTGGATGGTTGGTTATTTTTGAGAACTGCTTGTAGCTGTTCCCAAAATGGCTACAGGTAGAGTAGAGAGTTAAGTACCAACGGCTTTTGTTTCTTCAAAATAAAGGTGGCAGTCTCTTCCTCCTGTTGCGATCATAGCCATGTAGTTCCAGATACTCACAGCTGAGTTTTTAGAGCTTTGTTCTAGGTTGGCGATAACTCGTGTTGACATAGTTTCAGAAGAAACTTCCTTTTTGCTCTTTAGTTTCTGGCCAGAGTCCTTCTTACCTTTATTCTGCGGCGTGATTCCATTTAAGCCAAGTTCACAAAACATGGTACATAATCACACAGACTGCTCAGCCTCTTAGTTCCCGTCGAGAGCAGGCTTTTGAGAAAGTGTTTTAACCTTGGCAGCAATCTCGAGAATCACTGTTGCCCAAACTTTCGTTGCCATGATTTTTGCCATATTTTATTACATTCTTAATTTTAAATCTGCCATTTAGCTTCGTCCTAAGCTAAATAAAATGTGTTTAAATTGCTTGTTGTATTTTTCCCTCAAATATATGAAATCTGACTTGTAAAATTAAACACATTGGTCTGTGAACTACTTACTACTGGTTCTTTTGCACCGTATTTCAGAAAATATAGTTTTCTGGGAATATGAGGACATGTATAATGTGTTGCTTTTTTTTTTTTTTTTTAAAGATTTGGAGGGGTAATAGAGGTTGAAATAACATCAGAAGTCTTGACAAAATTCTTCATCATTTGAGAGGCTTTTTAGGTGATAAGTTTAGTATATTCCCTACTTCAGTAGACTTTTATAAAGTCCTTTTCCCAAAATATAATCCCCTTGTGAGGATGTGCTTGGATCATTTTGCTGATCATGAGTTAGATGGTCAACGAGTAGTAGTACAGGAATAGAAGGTAATAACTCAAATTTGTTTTAATCTTATAAATTAATTACTCTTGACTCCTTAAGGAGGAGCCAGATAGTTAATATTTTAGGCTTTGTAGGCCTCTGTCACAACTATGCAGCTATTAAACATTGTCATTGTGTTACCAAGGCGGCCATAGGCAGTATATGGCTATGACATTGAAATTTGAATTTTATGCAATTCGTATGTTTCATAAACCGTTACTCCTTTTTTTTCTTTCAACCATTTTACCATTTAAAAATGGTAAAATACCCTTCTTAGCTTGCAGGCCATACAAGAACAGGTGGTATGCTAGATTTGGCCCATGGGTCGGTTTGCCAGCCTCTTTTAGACTTAAGAGAAACTGAGTCTCGCCATTTTCAGAAGGCACGTTGAGATCCCTGTGGAGAGGGTGGGGAGGCGCCTGCATATCCTGAATCCAGACCTACTTTCTTTTCGCTGCACCCTACTGCTCTCTGCTGTTTGCAGAGATAATAGCATCTAGTGGAAGGGAAAGTGGAATATTTATTGGAATGCCCTTATAATCAGGAAGAGCTGTAATTGAGACAAGACTGCGATTTATAGAAAATTGTGTAAAAAAAAGATTGCCGTTAGGATAGAAAAACCATATTAGTTGTAGCAATGAAAAATTTATAGCCAGCAACATAAAACTACGTATTGGAATAAGTAAGTTATTAAATAAAACCTATATGGGTGTTGAGAAACCCTTCTTTTTGTTTGGGGGAGGGGGGTTTGAGGAGCTCAGAATCATGTGTCAATAATCCTTAGAACTGGATTTAGATTTCTGAGAAGCACTTTGCTCAGCCAGAAGCCTTTCACTCATGGTGTCCTGGAATCCTGTCGTTTTATTAGTCAGAGTGGTTTATATTCTCAGTGACTTTTTTCTGCTTCCCCCTTTATCTAGACCTCCTGGCCAGAACTGATGCTTTTGTCAATATTTGCTTGTGGGATCCCAGTTTAAGTCATTAATATGTATTAGGATAAGAGTCCTGAGGCCTGGCTCTCGCCACCTTCTGAGCTAATGGTCCTTCAGTCTGACAGCTCCATATGGCTGGCTTACTGCTTAGGGAGAAGGGAAAATGTTTTTATAGACTCCTTTTTCAATGTGAAATCAACACATATTTGTTCTAAAATAATTGTTATTTACAAAGACTAAAATCATTAGTCTAAGATCACCCCACCTCCAACAGTCAGCCCTTAGATATAGTTTCCAGGACTTCTTCCATGTTGGTTTATAAGTCATACTGTTCGATCGAAAACTAAAATTCTCCAGGGATCCTGGCCTATGTGGAAATGAACAAGATTGGGGAGACCTAAAGCAGAAATACGCTCCTTATCACGACTGATTACATAACACAGGTGTGTCGTGTGTGTAGCACTTCCCAAAGCTGTACCTGCCCTTGTGATACCAGGTGCTCTGAGCTAGAGAGAGAGGTACTCCAGGGCCTGTTCCTCCTCTTGTTTGTAGCCAGATGGGAATGTGGGCTCAGTGTTGCCAGATTTCTGGTCGTTCAAGAGAAGTCTCAAATATTTTTTAAAATGCAAACTACTCCAACTTTTACATATTGGCTCAAATTCAAAAAGATGCATCAGATTTGCATTGGTGAGCTACTTGGTTCATGGATCACTTGTTTGCAGTCCTTTAGTCTTGTGGAGTGTCTGGTGGAGACCGTTTAGAGCTTTTTTGTTTTTAACTCAATCTTGTGTTCTGAATACTTTCCTGTGTTAGTAAATAACCCTTTAACACAACATTTCTGTCCTGTCATGGACTGTCTGCTATGTAGCTTGTCTGTGCATGCCACTAAGACTTGTGCAAGACACAGCCTTTTGGACATATAGGTTGTTCGCGAGATTTTATAAGTAGAAGAAATTTAGCATGCTTCAATACCTCCTGCGCCCCACTCCACCCAAAGGGCCTGGGGTATGAGGGAGGGAAGGGACATTTTTTCTAATTTAATTCTTAAGACTCATGTTCCATGTAGTCAGAACAGCACTTAGCACAGGCTAGGATTTTGTAAATATAGATAATAAATAATGTGTTTTAGCCTACACTTGTGAGTTTCACATCAAAGTATAAAATCTGATTAAATTATTGGTGACTTCAAAGGCAATTAGTTCTTCCTCTGGGCAAGATTTATGGCTTTATAAAAGGATTGGCATCCGTTTCAAAGCTTAATTGAAATGAGCATTTCCCAATGTTTTTTTTTTTTTTTTTGGAAAATGCCTAGTGACTTAAGACAGGATTTCCCAATCTCAGCACCATCGACATTTTGGGTCAGATAATTCTCTGGCGTGGGGGCCATCCTGTGCATGATGGGGTGTTTAATAGTGTCCCTGGCCTCTACCCACTAGATGCCAGTAGCACAACCTGCCCACAATTATGACAGCCTAAAGTGTCTCCAGACCATTGCCATGTAGCCCCTGGGGAGCATGGTCACCCCTCCAGTCTGCATTGAGAACCACTGATTTAATGCACCATGCTTTTGAAATTTAGCTCTGACAAAATTCTGATTGCTCAATATTTATCTTGGAAGCTCTTCAATATTTACATTTAATTTTATATCACTTTTTTCCTGAACATAAAATATTCCTTTCAGTGTTAGTATTATAGAATAAATAGCACACAGTTCTACCCTAAGAGGTGACAGTTGTTAGGAATTGGCTGTTCCTTCGCTTCAGATTTTTTAATGTATGTAATCACATTGATAATAAATTTCTTGTGGTGACATGGGATCATACTAAGCTTTTGCTTCTTTCAGAAAACTTAGCAATGTTTCCTTGACGTCTTTTTAATTGTCAATAGTATATAGATTGTACATGAACATATCAGAAATGATGGGGCATGACCGAATTTTGGGATGCATTTCTTGGGGAAGAAACCTGATTTTATTCAGGTATATAAATGTAGGTGTTTTAAACAGATAACACGGGTTTGTTTTCACAATGTCGATTTTATACATATATATATGTCCTTGCTGACTTTCTAACCCCTAATGCTATAGACATTTTGGCCAGCCTGGTATTTTCCATGTTTCTCTAGATGGCCACGTTCGAAGCCAGAATACAAGTTATACAGTCACAGAGGCTCTTCCAGGGTCTCGGTGGGAAATGCTGGGTAAGGACAGTGTGTCTCAACCCTTTTTTTCATCGTTAATCCATTTTAGACATTTTCTTCCTGTGAATTTTTTTAAAAAATGGAGGTGAAATTTACGTGACCTAAAATTAACCATTTAAAAATAGACACTTCAGGGGTTAATTTAGTACATCCACAGTGTTGTGCAACTACCACCTTCGTCTAGTTCCAGAACATTCCCATCACTCCAAAATAAAATCCCTGTGCCCAGTAGGCAGTCTGCCCCCCTCCCCAGCCCCCAGCTTTGCTCCACCCCTGCCCCGACAAGCATCAGTCTGCATTCTATTCATGTGGCATCATCTATTCTGGATATTTCATTTAAGCAAAATCATACAAAGTGTGACCTTTTGTGTCTGGCTCCTTTCACTTGGTGTTATGTGTTCAAGGTCATCCACAAGCATCAGAACGCCATCTCTTTTTACAGCTCAGTGACATTCCATTGCCAATATACCAGCTTGGCTGTCCGTTGATGGACATTGGGATTGTGTCATGCTTTGGGCTATTGTGCACAGTGCTGCTCTGAACATTCATGTACAAGGGTTTGAGTTTCTGTTTTCAGTTCTATGGGGCATATACCTGGGGGTAGACCTTCATGAAATTTAAGAGTATTGTATATCTTCTTGTGTACTGCATACATTTCTGTGCTTTATACATAGAGAGTAAGATTTTTTTTTGTACCCCCTAAGAATCACATTTTTGCCCCTTGAGGGCCATATTGCCCCTGTTGAGAATGCATGGATGAGGGTGAAAGCAGAGGAGATGGGTGATCAGGAGAGAGATCTGGGATATATTTTGGAAGCGGTATGTAGAAGCCTTGCTGAAGAGTTGGGTAAGTTGAGGCAGGGGAGCAAAGGGGGAGTTGAAGTGAGTGATCTAGACGTGTTTGGCCTTGAGCAACCTAGCGAGTGGTGGTTCCAGTTATTTATTTTTATTACACATTGATACGCACGCAGAGAGAATTATAAATGTAGTAGCTTTACCTTAGCCTCTGCAGGATCGCAGGTCGGGCAGGGTCCTGTTGGACCACCTCCTGACCTCTGCTTTTTGATTTTTGAACTTGACCCATTAAACAGGGAAATGGAGTCTCACTTGGCTGAGGTGCAAGAGCATCCTTGCCTAATTTTTTTTGTTCCTGTCCCTTTTTAGAGTCAGGCTACCTCAACAAAGTTCTCTGCAGTCCCAAGCAGTGCTTTGCGGGGGGTGGTAAGACCCTCACTACTAGACCTGCTTGCTAGTGTGTTTAAGAGAACACAATTAGAAAAGCCTGGTCTTTAGTCCTCGTGGAGAGTATAGTACATTATACTGATCTCTTCAGCCAGTGGAAATCTCTTTTGGAAACAGATAGAACATGAATGAATGAATGATTAAAAACACACACACACACACACACAACACCTTAATACTAAAGATGTTATTGGTAATATTTAAGTCTTTTAAAATGCCTTTAACTTGTTGTTGGTTGTAGTGTGTGGGGGTACTAGCAGTAGTAGTAATAGCCCTCAGAATGTTGTGTGCTTGGCCAGGCATTCCTTAATCCTTACAGTAAAATTAATTTAATTTAGCTTAACTCTCAAAATCACTTCAAATGTTTATTGAGTGCATTCAAAGCAGCAGTTGACACAGATTGGCCAACCTGATCCCCACCTCCTCCCATTTCCAGAAGAGGTGAAGGATTCCCACAGACACACCTGCTTCATCCCTGTGTGAACTGGTTGGTCTCAACACTGTCAGCGTTCGGGGCCAAAGATAATTCTTTGTTCTGGGGGCCGTCCTGTGCACTGTTACGATGTTTAGCAGGATCTCTGGCCTCTACCTACTAGATGTCAGCACCCCGTTCCCCAGTCTGACAACCAAAAATGTCTGCAGACATTGCCCCATGTGCCCTGGAGGGCAAAATCACTCCTGGATGAGAACCATTAGTTGATATGATTGAAACCAAAGCCCTAGAGGTTAATGAGAACTAGAAAACAATGCTATACCAAGGTTTAATAGATGCCAGGCACTGCTCAGATGGTTAATTTAGTGGATCCTTACAACTTGATGAGGGTAGGTACTTTTACTTTCCCTTTGTATTGTGTTATTAGTATCCCTATTTGCCACTGCCAGGAAAGGAGGCTCAGAGATTCCAGGTATCTCTTGCCCAAGGTCACACAGCAAGTTATCAGCAGAGCTGGGATTTGAGCCCAGTCTGACTTCCGATCTGTGCTTGAATCCACTTCTGTGTCTAGAATCTTTCCCACTGTATTATGTTAAACACAGTGTGGCAGGTCCTGGCACTGGAGCTGAGGTTAGCTCCTGTATCCTGACTGGTATATTGACTGGCCATGGTGTACGAGTTCAGTCTATTGAATCTTCACGCCGAATGTCTGTATCTGGCAGGGAGGAAACCCAGGCGAGTGCCCACCCACCTGTCCGAGCACTTTTGAAGTCCCCGTGATGTCTCGATTCCTAATGACTTTGCCACTGACAGCTTTCTCTTAAGGACCAGATCGCCTCAGAGTTGGTTTCTTGTGCCTCCGAGGCCAGCTGGCCATTTTGTTGCCTGTCACACATTTAGTAACAGGACCAATAACATTGAACTGTTTAGGCAAAGGGGCAAGATATAAAGACTCTCCAGGAGGCTCTAGCTGGCTCATCTGAATGCTTCATTTTGTTAAATGGTTTGGTGTCTGTCATCCCTCCCCTCACCCAGTGGATGAGGCTCAAGGGAGCAGGATGTGGTAGTTTTAAGATACTTTTAAAATCCTTGGGCATAGGTATGACTCTCCACCCTCTTGTCAAAATTTGAAACATAGTGAAAGGGAGATAATTTACCAACGTCTCCTTACTCCATCTGGGGTGGAGTTTAACTTCATCCTTTGAAATGAGAACCCCAAGCTCTCCCAAGGGGTCGAGTTGGCCTCTGGGCAGGTGCAGTAACTGTGGGAGCCCGCCCCACAGTTTGTGACTTCCACAAACGGATAGCATGCCGTTTGTAAGCCTGGGCCTGGTCTCTGCATCTGGACCGTGGTGGGGGCTGGTTTCATCGTTACTTGAGATTTACACCCGTGAATGGGCCAAACCAATTTCAGTGGCGGCTTAGCCGATTTGTCTTAGAGCTTTGTGTTTAATAGAAGAACTGGGGAGGCCTCTTTCCTTTGTGGCTTTACCGGTTTAACGTTGGGTTAAAGCCCTTCGCTTTGAAATAAAGGGCCAGCCAGCCAGCCATGCCTGCTCCACCCCATCTGTGGCACTCTGGTGGCCTTTTTGAAATCCAGTACGATTTCTCTACTCTCCCCGCACCTACGAGTTGTATTTTTTTATTTGTAAATCTATATTTTAACAAGCACCCTACTTTTTCAGCGTCACCGGCCTCCACGAAGACGGGACAAGCAGGGAGTTTATCCGGCAGCCCGAAACCTTTCTCTCCTCAAGCGTCCACGCCAATCACGACGAAGACGGACAAAACGGCCACCACCGGAAGCATCCTGAATCTTAACCTGGGTCAGTCGAACTTTTTGGAAGTCTCTTTTTGTGGCAGTTAGGAATATTTTTGCAAGTCGTGATGTTCTCTTGTGTGTGTGGTGCCTGAACTCTGAACTCTTCTGAGCAAACGATTTAAAAAGGCCGAAGATGAAGGGAGATCCGTAAAAGGAACGAGAAAGGGATTTCTCGGGGCTCGTTGACATGCGAGTTGTTTTATCTTGAAGGGCCTTAGGCCAGTGTTTACAACCTCACTTGCCCTTGACCACAGTACCCCAGTTCTCATATGTGTAAATGTACGTATTTAAAGAGCTGTAGGTGTACTCGATGTGTATCAAGTATTAAGATCAGTAAGGTAAAATGTGTTAATGTGATAAGGAGAGAGATGGGCAGGATGTGGGTGGGGACAAGAGGCAGTGGTTCAGGGAAGGCCTATTTGAGTGGAGAGGTGCATGGCAGGATAAACCAGCCATGCCAGTAACAGCGGAAACATTCTGGAAGCAACAAGAATGTTCTAGACAAGAATGGACAGGCCCTAGGGTAAGGGTGAACTTTGTGTTATAGAAGTGGCAAGGAGGCCCAGGTAGCGTGTCCCAGTAGGTAAGGGGGAGACATGAGGTCAGACCGCACCGGGACCTTGAAGGCCCTGGCGGGAGGGGGCGGGGTGGTTTGAGCAGTGAACCGACTTAGCATTTTAGAAGGACCTCTTTGGGTGCTGGCTTGAGAGCAGCCAGTGTTAGCTGTTCTAAACCAGAGCCAGTTCCTCCTTCACCCCAGGAGACACTTGGCCGTGTCTGGGTACATTTCTGGTTGTCACAGCTGGGAGTGGACGATGCTGCTGGCACCTAGTAGGTAGAAGCCAGGGATGTTATTGAAAACCCCGCAGTGCTCAGAGGAGGCCCCCACGGCCAAGAATTATTGGGTTGTGCCAGTAAGTGTGTGGACAGATTTGGTCGTGGCAGGAGAAATAGGAGCCAGGAAACCAGTTTTCGATTCTTTAAGTTTGAGATGCCTACAAGGCTCCCAATAGGAGACGTGAAGAGGGCGGGGTGCTCTGAGGCCAAGTTAAGGCAGGAGGTATAATGCTGGGAATCTTGGTTTATACAAGGGATTGGGGTAGAGCCCCAGTTCTCATAGTGGGGGCAGGCATGGGGCGTGGAGTGGGGTGCTACTGGCATTTAGTGGTTGCAGGCCAGGGATGCTGTTAAATGTCCCACAGTGCCTAGGACAGCCCCCCATAATGGAATTATCTGGCTCCAGTGGCAGTAATGCTGAGATTAACCCTGGTCTGGAGCATAAAGGAAGAGTGAGGACCCTGGACACTTGAGCAGAGGAGGCTGAAATGGAGCAGTGGACAAGGAGGAAGCCACACCAAAGGAGGAGGGTATTGTCCTAGAGGCCTTAAGGAGACAGCAGCCCCGCCTCATCTGCAGTTTGGCTTTCTTGGTTTCAGTTACCCATGGGTTAGCCAAGGTCCGAAAATACTCAGTGGAAATTTCCAGAAATAAACAATTCATAAGTTTTAAATTGTGCGTCATTCTGAGTAGTATGAAGAAATCTCACCCTATCCAGCTCCGTCCTTCCCGGAGAAATGAATCATCCCTTTGTCCAGCGTCTTCACACTGTCTATGCTACTGGCCCGTTAGTCACTTAGTAGGCGTCTTCATTATCAGATCAACTGTTGTGGTGTCGCACTGCTGTGTTCAGGCAGCCCTTATTTTCCTTAATAATGGCTCCAAAAAACAAGAGTAGTGATGCTGGCGAGTCAGACATGCCAAAGAGAAGCCATAAAGTGTTTCCTTTAGGTGCAAAGTGAGCACAGTACAGTAAGATTATTTGAGAGAGGAAGAGACCACATTCGCATAACTTTTATTATTCTTTATTGTTATAATTCTATTTTATTATTAGTTATTGTTGTTAATCTCTTACTCTGCCTAATTTAGAAATTAAATTATCAGAGGCATTTATGTGCAGGTGATAACACAGTATAAGTAGGGTTTGGTACTATGTGCAGTTTCAGGCATCCACTGGGGGTTGGACTGTATCCCCCACAGGTGGGGGGACTGCTGTATGGGGTGTTTAGGAAGGGATGGGTGGCCACCTGTCTGCAGGGCTGCTCCAGCCTTTGGTGGTCAGTGCCTTCCTGACTCATCTTGTCCTGCAGTGCCATTTTCAGGTGGAGAAACTGAGGTACCCAGAAGGTGGCAGGACTGGCGCAGGCCTCTGTCTCCATGGAGACCAGTGCCTCATTCATCCTGGGTCACCTGTTAGTGCATCCTGGATGTGATTGGACAGTCAGGTGGTGGCTTTAGGGGCTCCAGTTCTGATTGACTGGTGGGAATTCCTCACTCGAACAGCAGGGCACCCATTTGCTTCCCTAGGGAATGCTCACTGTTCTCATAGGGTGGTTTGCTTTCTCACACCCTCCTCCCACCTCCACACCCCGAAAAGAAATGCCATGCAGAAGCTTTCTCACGGTCACATTTCCTCTTTGCCCGTCATGCGTGGCAAGAACAGCTGCTTTCCTAAACCAGGCGGGCTTTGGGCATCCTCGTGATAACTGTGGGTCTTTCGATGTGGCTTGACTCATGTAGGGAATGCAAGATTTCTTCCTGTCATGTGTTTCGGTTGGTGGGCACAGCGGAATCTGAGTCTCTGTTGCAGAAGTGAAGCTCCCTGCTAGCTCTTCCCTTTCTGGGACATGCCTCGTTTTGTCAGTGGAAATGAAAGCATTGGGAATGCGGGTGTTTTAAGGGCTGAGATTTTAATTACCTAATGGGAAAAGGATCAGATAGGGAGCCATGGATGGGTAGAAAAGTCGGAAAGTGGAGGAAAATGCTAAAAAATTCTTGAGCATCCCACAAATGCTTTAATGGGACTTGATTTTTGTCTCATCTGTTTGAGCAGACAGAAATGAGACAGCACCAAGGATAATGACAGTATTAGATCTAAAAAAAACCCAGTATTTAATTTAAAAATTTATACTTGCAGAGCAAAATTATAGAGATGAAAACAAATCAGTGATTGCTGGGGTTTGGGGGTGGGGAGAGGGGAGGGATTGACTACAGATCACTAAGGGGTTCTTTGGCAGATGGAGTTTCTCTGCATTGTTTGTGGTTACGCAAATCTATGCAGGTGTTAATATTCATAGATCTGTATTTTACTCTGTGAATTAAAACTATTAAAAAAAAAATACAACAATCTTCAAGGTAGGTAGGTAATAGTCCCATTTCACCGAAGTGAAAACTGAGACCCAGAAAGTTAACTGCTCAGACCTGCTCGTACGTAGCTTGGGCTCTTAACCCAGACACAGAAACTGAAATGCTATGAGACAGGCCCTGCTTTGACTTTCATTTGCCCTTCACTGTGCCTCTCGTGCTGTTGGATAAGTAGGCCAGGGGTCAGGGGGTAAGGTGACAAAGCGGAGTGGGCAATCACACGGAGGACAAAGTACTTTTCTTAGGAAGCAGCTCCTGCCAGTTCACCTTGAATTTTCAAGAAAAACAGAAATCCAGATTTTTATGCGAACTCTCCTAGTTTTTAAAATTTGGCAACAGTTTCATCAAAAACCAAAACTACCTTGGGCCAGACAAACAGATAGAACTGAAAAGAACAAAAACTAGCCCATGGGTCATCCATGGTTACTCCACTACTCTTACAGTTAATTTTGGTGCGAGACAGGGGACGGTTTCTGCAGACCATTCTCACCCCGGTTGGTGACACACGGTCCCTTATTGGCTGTCTTGGGCCTCTTCCCTTGGCTCCATACAAGGAGCCTGGCCCTGGAGGATTGCTATGCCCCCTTCTGTGGCTCCAAGGCGATTATGAATAAGTCATAGATAAGAATGAATTGAGGAGGCCATTGGGATGTGAGTGCTATTGGTATCCAGTGGTTAGAGGCCAGGATTGCTGCTAAACATTGGCCACGACCCTTTCACTGCCACCTCCCCCCACAAAGACCTACCCAGCCCCAAATGTCAAAAGTGCCAACATTGAGAAACCCCAAGAACACACATACGTGTTCATTATCTGTGTTCCATTTCCTTCTTTCCCATTCCAGTGCCTAAGTGTTCTACTAAGTGTCACTTTTTTCATCAGACAGGTTGGCTTTCCACATCAGGACACAGAGATCTGCTGCCATCTTATTTTAGCAGCTGCATTTTGATCCATTTCAAGGAGAACTGTAACTTTAAGGTGCCACCTTATTTATTCACGCTTGGTTGTTTTCCACTTTTGCTGTCGTAAACAGCTGCAGTGAAGACCTTTTGGCCCATACGGGACTGTATCCAGAGAATAAATTTCCAGAAGGGGACTCGCGGGTCAGAGGCCATGCACAGTTGACATTCTGAGGGACAATGCCAAATTGCCCTCTAAGGGGGCGATTCTGATTTATGCTCTCTCCAGAAATCAAAGATGGCGCCTCTTTCTCTAGCGTGGGTACTTTTTTTTTCCATCTCTGGTTTCCATTTATAGCCTGAGCTGTCTTCATATCATCTGAAAAGTTCAAAATGTTGGCAGCGAGGGTAGATTCTGAAGATATTCCCGATATAGAAGGGCAGGGGTGGAAGGAGTCCTCAGATGCGGCTGCGAGCTAAACGAGAAATGGCAGCTCTTCTCCCTGTGGAGCTAGGGGAGAATCAAATATGGCTGAAAAGTTTCAGGAAGATAATTTCGTTTGGCTGACCTCCTGAAGATCTGCTCCCAGGGACCTGAGCCCGGCCCCCTGGCTTTTGTTGGTTTCTCGTTAGAATAAACTTTACGGCACCTTATCGACTTGGGCAATAAGCTTATTTTGTAAAATGAGATGCTTTACCTTTTTTTTTTCCTGTTGATTATGACTAGTCCAGAGTTCAGTCTTTTTAGGCTAAAGTTACGAGATTGCGTGAACTGTAACACACACACACACACACACACACACACACACACAGTCATTTTGGTGAGGTGTAGGTCTCTTTCTGTGAACCCTAAGGTGCTGCTATTACTGCAGATAATCCAGGCTTAAGGCAGATCATGAGTTTGCTTTACTCGCATGGAAGATGGTACATGACAAGGCTCTCAACCTTAGCTGCCATTAGAATCACGCGGGCATTTTTTTAAAAGACCAGTGCCTAGGCCTTTCCCCCAGGTCAGTTAATTCGAGAGTCTCTGGGGGTGGGGGGGTGGCTGAGGCATTAGGATTTTTTTAAAGCTCGACAGGTCATTTCATTGTGCAGCCAGGTTTGCAGTCACAGGGACTAGAACAAGGGGTGACACATTTTACAGCCTGCAGACCAAATCTGGCCCCCCACCTGTTTTTTGCAAATAAAGTTTTATTGGAACACAGTCACACCCATTCGTTTACATGTTGTTTATGTTCAGTTTTGTACCAGAGCCCACATGGTCCACAGAGCCCAGTTTATTCTCTAACCCTATACAGAAAAAGTTTGCTGACCCCTGATAGAGTAGCTTGTGTTTTTCAGTAGCTACTGTATGGAATCTATTAACCATATAGGGATGTTATTGATCATTTGCGCTGTGCCCCTCCCCTATCCCACTTCATGGAAACTTTTTTTTTGGGGGGAGATACTTCTAACTTATGCTTGAAAAGACTGCCTTTTCCCTCTGGACTCCATTATGCTTTCTCCTTCCAGAGAGCAGAAATTATGAGACAGGCCTCACATTCTTCCGCTTTTGCTGTCATATTAGCAGCTCAACTGTCGAAATCCTTAAGTCCTATTCGTAAGCTCTTTAATCGAATCTTTTTGTCTTTCTCTCTCCCTGGTCCTCCTCCTCCTCCTCCTCCTCGCTGTTTTATCATTGTTTCACTCTGTTCCCTTTGTAAGGTGCTCCTCGAGTAAATCTGAATGAACATTCTTTTTCTGAAGTGACGGTGTTGTCTCTTTGAGCATCTTCAGTCCTGGTGCTGATAGGCTCTCTGAATAGCCCCTGGTCAGCATAGAGTACATGTGCACACAGATGCTCACATGCATGTGTACACACACACACACACAATGCTCACATATATACACACATGAGTATGTAATAATGCACATGCTTACATACATGCACATGGATGCACACATGCATGCAGTGCTCACACGCACGTGTTTGCACAGACATGCGTGCAGTGCTCACATGTACGTGCATGCACATGCTCACACATGGATATGGTTTATAGAGCCTGTTCTTGAATGACAAGGATGCTGTCTCTGCTTCCTTTGGAATCTCCACAAGTGTGGGGAAAAGGCCCTTCCTAATCTCAGTGGAGGCGTTATTTATGGTGATAAAGTCAAGTCGGAGCAATTAGTTATTCTGGTCACCTATGAGTGTGTTGTGTGGGGCATAGGGGAAGCCACCTGTGGTCACTTAAAGGGACGAGTCACCGGATGTGCAGTGTAAGGGAGTGTCCCCTTCCTAGGTGAAGAGAAGGTGCGTGACGCATGTTGGAAAACAGAAAAGAATCGAGAGGAGAGTGTGAGGGCTTTGACCAGCTCTTGCAGTCCAGCTCTCAGTCTGTATTTCAGCCTCTTTAGCAGCCTGGTGGGCGTGGGTGGCATGCGCTCCCAGCTGGTGGGGACAGGCTCAGGGGTGGCTTTTCCTCCTTGTCCTTGCTTTGATGGCACATACTTTCTGATTGATTTTTCTGGGATCGGGCATGGTAGGGAGGAAGCCCACATTCTCTGCTTGGTGTCGGTTGCAGGGCATGCTGGAGAGTGACAAGGCAGGTTGAGAGAGGCATTGCTCCTGCATATAAAGTCTCTCATGGGTTTCTAGACCTTTGCAGCCACCTTAGTTTTGCCCCCTTCTTATGTTTTGGGGACACTAGAGGAGGCAGCAGAGGAAGTGGGGAAAGAATTCAAGAAATGCAAACTTAAGGACCCTTTAGAACCTGGTCCGATTGGTCATATAAAGAGCCCACAGCAAAAGTTGGGTGGAGGCGGGACCCCTGGGCCTGAGCCATCATCAGTCAGAGAGAGGCCCCTGCCTGGGATCAGGGCAAGGAGCTCGGACTCTCTCCTTCTGGAGAGAGGACACAGATTCACTACCCAGGGCTCATCTAGTCACCTGTCCTCAGATGCTGTGAGCCAAAGGGAGGTGCAGCAGGCTGGCAGGAAGGAAGGTCTCCCTCTCTGGTACCTGCCCTCTCTTTCTCACGTGAGCTCCAGACTAGGTCCGGGCCAGGTAAGAATGAAAAGCGAAGCCTCTGCAGTAAACGAGGAGCTGGGGCCCCCATTACCAGTGTGTGTTCTCCGAGGGGCTCGACATCTCTACAAACCGTCTCTGATCTGGGCCTGGAGTTGAAAGCACCTTCTGCCCGGACTTGCTGTCACTTTATCTGCTAATTGAGATTGAGCCTATTACTGTAACCTTTGGTTTTCGAGATCCCAAATGATGCTGAGTTCCACAGACAACCATCTGGCTGGGATTGTGCATTTTTTAAATATTGAAAGCAACCCAGGCGACTGTATAGCGGACTGACGAAACCTGCCGAATGTTTTCTCGGGCTATCATCTCCCAAGTCAGCCCATGTCACTGAGCAGATGATACTGTTGGGACAAATGACAAAATTGTTTTAGGTTTTGCACCCCACTCTCATGGTCTAAAATGTGCGTCTACAAGAAGGAAGCTATATGATGAGCATTGTTTGTTCGTCCCTCCAACACCTGGCCTTACGAGGGTGCGATGATGTCTTCCAGATCGAAGCAAGGCTGAGATGGACTTGAAGGAGCTAAGCGAGTCGGTCCAGCTGCAGGCCGCCCCCGTCCCTCTCATCTCTCCCAAGCGGCAGATCCGCAGCAGGTTCCAGCTGAATCTTGACAAGACGATAGAGAGTTGCAAAGCACAATTAGGTATGTATGTTTTTTATGGTTCGCTTTTATCATCATCATCATTATTTGTGGGGTTTCCACCTGGGTGAAATCAAAGTTGGCTTCTGGCTGCGTTGAGCAGTTGTTTTAACCTTGAGTTGCTTGTTCAGCTAAAATACATTTCCACGCATGGCAAAATCGTTCAGATTTGCTGGGTCATTGTTCCGATGTGCTCTTTGAACTCCTCAGAGTTTTTTCTTTGGTGGCGGCAGCCTGCAGACCCGAGGTGCAGGTTGTAAGACAGTTTGGGAGCAGAAGGGGCCTCTTGTGTTTGCCTCTGTGCTCCCTGTCAGTACTTGTTAGCATCTCGGCGTCAGAATGCAGTGTGTCCCACAAATGTCCAACACAGACCTGTCCCCTCCAGACTGGGCCCTCCCCACCTGGCAGACCCGACCTGCTTCTGTCCATATTGCCTCCCTTCCTCTTCCCTTGTGCTGCCTGCCTTCATGCTGCCTACCTGAATCCTGTCCCTAAGGCTGAGCTCGGTGTCATCTCCTCTAGGGAGTCTCCTCTGACTGCCCTCCCCATCTGCTGGCCTCCTTGGTACTTGATTGCTGGGAAGCATCAGTGGTCTTTTGTGTGGGGGGTACCCTTCCCAACCCAGACTGGAAGCTCCTTGCGGGCAGGGAGGTTCCTTACAAAGGTTTGCCTTCTCCAAGGTACTTGGTCTTATGTACACACTAGTGCTCTGGAATATCGATTGAATAAGTAAATAAAGCCGTTATAAGTGCACGAACAATGCAGACACAAGGGCATTTATAAAGAAGTGGGGGATAGCTGGACTTCAGGAGAGAGAACCCAAGGAGCTGTGGTTGAGAGTCGTCAGGCTGTCAGCAGAGAGCATTCCTTTTGGGTTACCTGTTCGGTTAGGACATTGAGTGGCAGGGATGAAATTTTGCAGGCCATTCAAATATCCCTCTTGGGTCCTTCTACATAGCTGGTCTAACTCCTTGATTTGTTGCTATCGTTTATAAGGATTTTAATACTTCGGTTTACTGAAATTTCCTGTGCAGCCTGCACTGTGCTGAGATTGTCCTGGGAGGTCGATAGTATTATCAGTTCCATTTTGCAGTGAAGAAACTGAGGCTCAGAGAGGTGGATCACTCATTCAGGGTCACGTAGCTAATAAGAGCGGAGGAGCAGGATTTCGGTTTATATCCTTTGGGCTCTGGTACCCTAGCTTTTCCTATCACACATCTTTCTGTCTGACCATTAGCTACACCAGCACAAGCCCAACGACCCAGAAATTATACCAGATCTGGGTTTTATATTTTGACTTCTGTTTTTGTTTGCGCCCCGGTGGAGGCAGATGTAATTCACCAGCGATTCTGCTGGTGTCTAGTGCTTTGGGCTGTTGATGGCTCTTGTCATTTTGCAAGTTTGCTTTCAGTGTGTCTGGGCCAGGATAGTGACCCACTGCTCTAGAATGAAGGCAGTAAGAGTTGCTTGGGATTTCATCTTTTCAAAATTTTCAGATATAGTATTATTTGCCCACTGCCTGTGGACATTCATCGCTGGGAGCAGGAGACATAAGTGGGTTAAATGGAACTATTGTTAGTAATAATGCTTTCGCCCATTCTCGTTTGTGTGTATGTGAAACACCTGCTGTTTCGTCTTTCCCTTTTGATGGAGACATGGAAATTGGTGACTTTCCTTTTGGCTCCATTATAAGTGCACGAACAACGCAGACACAATGACATTGACTCTGTGTATCAGCTCAGCGTGCAAGATGGGGACTGGGTCACCTGGAGACGGTGCCCCCCACCTAAAGGGGCTGGTGGCCTCTCAGCACAAGCCCGCCATCTTGATTTCTCTGCGAAATTTCCTGATTTGTGAATTGGGCACCACGTTCCAAATTAAAAAATGAAAAACAAACAGTAAAACACCTGCGGGCCCAGCCACTGCTTCCCAGATAAAACGTGTCACAGGCTTGCGGGCCGTGAGGTTGCCACCTCTGCCTTAAAGCTTTGGCTTATTTCTTTGTGCCCTGGACACAAAGCGGGAAGGACTTCAATGCTTTGGGAATGCCTGGGAAGGGTGCTGGTGGTGAGTCAGGAGCCCAGGGTTTTGGCCTTGCCTCTGTCTTATTTTTTGGTGTGTCCTGGGCCAAGTGATTTCTCTGGGCCTCTGTTTTCTGTTCTGTAAAATGGATCAGTTTTAGCAGCTTATCTCTGATGTTTCCTTCCATCCGTCCCATTTTCTGTATCCCAATTAGTTACCAATGTTGTAAAGATTTAGCTCCAGATAAATTCAAAATTTATGCCGTTTGGTCCCCTGTCATCTTCGAATGTTGATACCTGAAACCAAACACAAGTTCCCTTTGTCACCTGTCATCAGTGGCAACATGAGTTCCCTGCTGACCCCACCAGGCCAATGTGATGCGATTTGAAATGTATTTTTTTTTATTTCCAGCGTTTGGCGTGGAAAATGTTTGCGTTTTTGGTCCTGCTCTTTATTTTGTGACTGCGCCACATGCTGGGTTTTCTTTTTGAATTTAGGCATAAATGAAATCTCAGAAGACGTGTATACGGCCGTAGAGCGCAGCGACTCAGAGGATTCTGAGAAGTCAGACAGTAGCGATAGTGAGTATATCAGCGATGATGAGCAGAAGTCCAAGAATGAGCCAGAAGACGCCGAAGACAAAGAAGGTCGTCAGATGGACAAAGAGCCATCTGCTCTCAAAAAAAAGCCCAAACTGGCAAACCCAGTGGAAATTAAAGAAGAAATGAAAAGCACATCATCGCCAACCAGCGAGAAAGCAGATCCAGGTTCAGTCAAGGACAAACCAAGTCCCCAGCCTGAGAAGGACTTTTCAGAAAAAGCAAAACCCTCACCTCATCCCACAAAGGATAAACCGAAGGGAAAAGATGAGACGGATTCCCCCACAGTCCATTTGGGCCTGGACTCCGATTCAGAGAGCGAACTTGTCATAGATTTAGGAGAAGACCATTCTGGGCGGGAGGGTCGAAAAAATAAGAAGGAACCCAAAGAACCGTCTCCCAAGCAGGATGGTAAGTGATTGTACAGTTTCCAGTTTCTTGATTTGGTTTCACATGACACCTTGCACTTGTAGTATCAAAAGTTATGTGACCCTCTAACATCACCAAAGGAGGCACAACAAAGCTTTGACTGACTCAGGGTCACCTAGCTGGCTGGTTACCTGATAAGACTGGGACTTAAACTGGGCCTCCTCACCTTGAACCCGGCCAATACCCATTGGGGTTGATTTTTAGTGCGGATATAATAAGTTAGGAAGTAGTAGTTGCTTCTAGTAATCAAGTCATTTTTAGCTTAAGCAGCTTCTTTATACTCAATATGCTCACTCTTTTCCTTGAAGTGTCAACATTTAGACAGTTGACAAGGCTGAAATTGTTAGACGTGTTCAGTTTGAAGATCTCGATGAGTTTACCTGTCCTTTCCTCCCCTTATGTTGCCCAGGCATCTCAAAGTATGTTTTCTTACCAGAATATGAGACCGTGCGGGTAGGTGGTGCCAGAATGCCCAGTGCTTCTTAGGGCGCTGGAAATCCACACGGCGTTGCGTGTTGTGCTCCTGAACTGGTCTTTTGCCCCACCCACCGTATTTAGATTTAATTGACCTGAGTTCAGGTTTCTCAACCCTCGCGCTACTGACACTTGGGACTAGGTAATTCTTTGTGGCGGGGACTGTCCTGTGCTTTGGAGGATGTTTAGCAGCATCCTTGATTTAATTGACCTGAGTTCAGGTTTCTCAACCCTGGTGCTACTGACACTTGGGGCTAGGTAATTCTTTGTGGCGGGGACTGTCCTGTGCATTGGAGGATGTTTAGCAGCATCCCTGGCCTCTACCCACTGGATGCTGGTAGCACCTGCCCAGTTGTGGCAGTCAAATGTGTCTTGACATTGCCAGATGTCCCCTGGAAGGCAGAATGTCCCCTGGTTGAGAACAACTGCTTGAGTCTCAGCAGTGCTTCTGTTGCTGGTTTTATAGGCTGAACCAACAGTGGCTGTCCGCAGGCCTGCTGCAGCCAGGCATGTTAGCAAACCCTCAGAAGGCACGTGGGAATGATTTGAAGGGTGTCCTTTCCATTGACAAAGCAGTCAGCACATTTTCTGTTGGTTTGGCAAGTGGTTAGGGAGGGGATCCCAACATGCCCAAGAAAGGTAATGAAGAATTCATTGAGGGCCCGGGAGAAACATTGACCAAGGGTAAATGAAGACGATATAGCCCCGTAAAAGATATGTACTTTGTGAGTAGCTTAAGGGGTCACCAGGGTTCATTTTTGATTATGCCTAACTTGTGACAGGAGCTAGCTTCTCAACCAAACCCTTGCGTTAAGATGTGATTCTATGTCCCCTGGGCATAGTCTGGCTGCTTAAAAGGGAAGTCACAGACAGGCCTTGAGGATCTTTCCTCTGCGATTGTGTCATAGTCTGAGCTGTTCTGGAACCTTTATTTCTGCAGGTCATCAAGCGAGGCTGACATGTCTCTGCATGTGCAGGAGGGAGAGAGAGAGCACTTGAGTGAGACAGGAAGGGTAGACCACCACAGCATCCCTGAGTCATCTCTTAGATTTGCGGATGGCCTCTAAAAATGGGCTTTGAAGGACCGCCTCTCATGTTGCAGAGAACAGTAGGAATAGCATTTATTCCATGAGGTTTGTGGGAATATTTGGGTACAGATGGCAGTGTTCCTATGAATGATACTGAAATATATTTACACTGTCCCCTTCTTTCTGGAACAGATCTTTTCATTGATTGGTTTTATGCTCCTTCCTTTTCCAGAAGGGATTTGTGACAGATTCACATGAATTCATAATCATGAAACAAAATGCAAATACAGTAGAATAGTGAGAGGTCTGGGAAGAGTTTGTATACAGAAATACATAGTGTTTCATCCTTCAGAGTTAGCAAAGTTGGGATTCATTTTGGCTCCGAGCTGCCCAGCAGTCAAAGCAAAAGAGGAAACACAGTTTCTTAAGACAGTGGTCCCCAGTCTTTCTGGCACCAGGGACCGGTGCCCCCATGAAAGTCTCATGCCTGAGGATCTGAGGTGGAGCTGAGGCGGTGATGCTAGTGCTGGGGAGCGGCTGCAAATACAGATGAAGCTTCGCTCCCTCGCCTGCTGCTCACCTCCTGCTGTGCGGCTTGGTTGCTAACAGGCCACGTACTGGTCCGGTCTGTGGCCCAGGGATTGGGGTCCCCAGCCTTTAAAGATCTCATATTTTCCAAACAATAATAAAAAAAAATCCAGTCAATTACATGAAGCAGAGCTCTTCCCTTGCACTGATGTTGGAGGGAAATTTCTCCAGGATGCCCTGAGTTTGTGGTGGAGGATTAAGCTGAAGATGATTCTAAAATATAATTCAGTTAGAGCAGATTCCCAGGGGTTGGGGCAAAACCAACTATTCTTAAATTCCAGATCCTCCCCCTGACGATGGTTTGGGCTTGAAGAAGAGGCTTTGTGTCCGATTTCCTATTCTACAGTAGAGCATCTTTTCAACGATGTGCTTTTATGAATTTATTAAAGCGAAGGGCATTTTAGAGTGTGCTCTGGTGAACTTAAACATCCCTTTGGCTAGGAATTCAGTTTATGCATAGAATGTGAATCCTCATGATACTAAAACAGTTTGTAATAGCAAGTGATGACAGAACAGGCAAAGGGAGCTCACTTAGAGACCTGTGCTCACCTGTAACATCGGTAACTTTTTAAAAAAATCCTCATTTTACATACAAGACAGTAGCCAAACTCTGGAATAAGTAGGTTAATTTGACGGGGGCAGCATCTGGGTGCTGGCCATTCAGGGAGCGACACTTTTTTGGGCTATAGGTAATTGATGACATACTCTGAGTTTCTAGAACAAACAGAATTTTCCAGAGCCTTTTGTTTTTCCTCTTCATGAACCATCAGAATCCCCTAGAAATTCAAATACATTAGTGTCTGAATGATAACCCCCAAAGAGTGTTTTGGGCCTAGAATCTTTTCAGATTGCAAATGCCAGTTTTTTACTTGGAAAAGCGGGCTAGGCGTGATTCCTGCAGAGCAATATGCAAAGCTGGCCATTTGCTTTTACAGATCAAGAGAAAGAAAAGGATCTTTTTGTGGTTGCCCTTTGACTGAGGCGGAGACTAGGCTCGCTAATCAATAATAATAGTGTATTTTTCGGTCACATGGCAGAAAAGAGGATGGTATTGAAGGTACTTCTGCAGGTGAGGAACCCTACCTGGAGACCATTCCCTCTGTGGGTTCTTAGAAGGGCCGGGTTCAAAGCTACCTGCGCCCCTGAAAGGGGCAGGTTCTCTATCCAGTGTTCGGCAGGTTGTCCTGGGGAAGGGTTGAGGCTCCTCACTGCAGGAAGAGCTCCCCTTCCAGTCCCACCCCATACCCTTGCCTATGAACTTGGCTGAGCTCTCCTCTCCAGAGGGGCGGGAGGGCCAGCCAGATGCAATAAGCACCAAGAAAGCCTCCCTTGTCAGAAAAGTCATCTTGTCTTTCCTTCTCCATTTCCTTGGTGTTCCAAGACCCACAGCTCACTGAAAATCTTCCCTAGAATAATCAAGACTCAGGTCTTTTCTAGGAGTTACAAATCTGGAAAGACGGGCGGAGTCTTCATTAAAAGGAGTTTGATATCCAAGCACATCATCTACGATTGGGGTGCTGACTTGCAGCTGTGCTTAGTGTGTGATCCTTGTGGGGAGGCTCACCTTGCCAGCGATAACTGACCCCTGTTCTCTAAACAAGCCCTCACATTGTTGCCCCTGTCTGTGCCGCTCAGTGCTTCTGGCTCTAACCTGCCTTCCGGCCCCCCCTTGCTCACTGCCTCCCTCACTCACCGAAATGTTCCCTGTTTAAACATGTCTTGGCTAATGCTATTTCCCTCCAGAGTCTCAGCTCTGCCTGGTGAAACCCAAACCTCCACCCCCATGGCCCAGCTCCTCCCAGAAGACATACTCCGTAAAGCAGCTTTCTCCAAACTTGAGGCATTCATGTTCATTATCTTTGCCATTCTCAAGTCCTGCTTGTATATAGTTATTGACTTAGTATTTTTATTTGAAACAACTTACTCTTTAAAAAAAATTAAACCCATTTTCCATCACTTGACCATCACACAATAGGTAAACCAGTATTGCTTGCTATACCTGTCGTACATTTATCGCAAGAATAAATGAAATCCAAAGGAAGCCACTCAAATTCTAGATAATACATCGTGTCTGGAAGGTTCTGGTCTTGGGGTGGAATCCCATTTAGTGTTAGGCGTCAAGGCGCGGGTTGCCAGGCTGAGACTTTGTCCTGGAGGGACTCAAACGAGGTTAAAGGGACACTTTTGGTTTTGAATGATTTAATGTTATTCAGTGCCTCGGCCATTGGGAACCCATCCGTTTCTTTGGGGTACACGCTGTAGCCAGAGGGTTTCTCTTAATTCCTGGATTGACTTTGGCTGGGTCTTTCTCTTAGTATCCACCCAGTTCTGACTTCAGAAGACAGGACACTGGTAGTGTGACTGTTCGTGCACTGCCTCCTCCTCAAGTTCACGGGCATCTTGAGGGCACGGGCTGGGTCTGGTTCACCCCGTTTTCCCCAGAGGCTTTGACATGTCCAGATGTGAGCAGGTGCTCACAAGAGGAGGCTGATAGCTGAGATAGAAGATGCTAAGTAAATAAGGTGAGAATATGTAGGGGGGGCAAATTTTGGGGACGTACCTGGACCCGGGTTGTTTCCCCCAGAACTTGCTGGCCGGGAGACCCTGCAGGCGAACCTGAATCCAATCCGCTTTTTCTTTGTTTGCTTTTCCCTGCGTTGGCTTCAGTTGTAGCTAAAGCGCCACCGGTCACGACGACAGGCAGCCAGTCTCCCCCCGAAACGCCGGTCCTCACCCGCTCGTCCTCCCAAACTCCCACGGCTGGTGTCACGGCCACCACCAGCACCACGTCCACGGTCACGGCCCCAGCCGCCGCCGCCACAGGGAGCCCGGTGAAAAAGCAGAGGCCGCTTTTACCGAAGGAGACTGCGCCGGCCGTGCAGCGGGTCGTGTGGAACTCATCAAGTAAGTTTCAAACGTCCTCCCAAAAGTGGCACATGCAGAAGATGCAGCGCCAGCAGCAGCAGCAGCAGCAGCAAAACCAGCAGCAGCAGCCTCAGTCTTCCCAGGGGACGAGATATCAGACCAGACAGGCTGTGAAAGGTACCGAGCCTCCCCTTCTGCTCTCCGTGGCGTCCGGTCCCTTTTTTTGCCACATCGACAGGAGAAAAACCATTCTTTTCTTTTCTTTTCTTTTTCCTTTTTCTTTTTTCTTTTTTTAGTTCCCGTTTGTTTCGTGGCCATTTGTACCCTGAAGGCCTCACACATTCCACTCGGCATTACTTTTAGAAATCGTTTTGTAACCTGATTTTTTTACTTTTAATTTTTTTTTTCCATTTTATAAATGATACATGCATATATTCTCCTTGGAAAGGGGGCAAGATATTTATGCAAAATTTGTCCCAATTTATGCAGTTGTCCCGATTGGCCTTCCGTTTTATCCTCCTCCCTTTCTCAGTGGCCACTGTTAACTGTGAAACCTTTTTTATGCACGTACGCATATATATTTATATATATGACTCTCCATTACAATACTCCTTTTTTTTTTTCCTTTTTTAAAACATGAAAATGGTACCATTTTTTTCCCCCCACCCATCAGCATGTTTTGGAGGTCCGTCCATGTCAGTACACACAGCTCTATCTTATTTTAGACTGCTGCATAGTATGCCATAGTTTATTTAAAATATTCCCCTACGGATGGGCATTTTGGTTGCTTCCAGTTTTTCCCTGTTGTAAGCAGTGCTGCAGTGCATACTGTTGTATTTGTTTCCTTGTGCACCCTTGTGAACCTCTGGCCATTATTATGGAAAGAATGAGGCGAGAAGTCAGTAGCAAAGCCTATCTCAGTGACTGGGGATTGGCCACATCCACAAGAAGAGCCGGCACTGAGAACCGGGTGCTAAAGTTGCAAAGTCAAAATCCCCCACCAGCCGTGCAGGAGGCTGACGAAGGGGCGGAGAGAGTGCTCATCTGATGGGTAGCCATTGCCCAGCTCCTGTGTGCACTGATGCAGGTCTCGTCCATGGGGAAGACATGCATCTGAGTCCTTGAAGGTTGGACTCCTTGACTGAAGCTTTCAAGTAGTGAGTGTAGCTAGTGAGTAGGACTCTGAATTCAGAGTAGCCGTAGAATAGGAGGTCGAAAGGCAGCCACATCTTGAATTGGCCCCCCAACGAAACCCTTCAAAGATTGGGGAGAGGGAAGGCTGAAAGATCGAATAGGGTGGAGTGCAGCTGGCTTGATCCCCCTTTTTCAAGAGTTGGTGGGACAGAACTGAATCTAGGATTCTGAGATTTGGGGTGACTGGTTCCAGTCTTCTGTCTTTATACCCTATAAGCATTCTGAACCTTCCCCAGAAGAACTTAGGCAAGAAGAGGCTCATTGATGGTGTGTTTCTCCATCTCCACGTTTTCTTGTGTCAAAGACAAAGCTGGACTCTACTTAAAGTGATAAGGACAGAATTTATTCAGGAACGGACTTTTAACATAGGGAAAAAAGTCCGGTGTAAACTGAAGTCGACTTTGATTTGTACAGAGGTGACTGGGTGTTTTAAGAGGAGAATGAGGTGATAGCAAGGGGGGAGGGGGTGGGTGGGACAATAGTCAGGAATGTGAACATTTACAAAAGTGGGAAGATGGCTGGTCCACGTGAAACCCACCGGGGTTTGCTAACTGACACCTATCGGAGTTCAGCTTCTGACTTCCCCTAGAAGCTGGAGACAGGGGCCCCATCTTTAGATATTCTCCTGAACAGTCAGTTCTTTGAGTGGCCTTGAGTTTTCTCAGGCAGACACTTTAAAGGGGGCTGGGGTCACCCCAGGGATGCGGCCTTGAGCTCTTAGAAGCTACGTTGGTGTTTAAGTCTTTATACACCATGGTCGAGCTAAGTGAGGAAGAGCCTGGCTGATATTTGGTCAAGGAGAAAATCTTTGTCACCTGAACGTGGAAAAGCTCCCAGGGCCTAAGATCTGGGCCTTCACTCCCTCACCATGGCTTTGTGCTGGGACTGGCCCTTCTCGCAGCAGTGGGGTGACCAGGACACTTTGCTTTCCTAGCTGTCCAACAGAAGGAGATCACGCAGAGCCCGTCCACCTCCACCATCACCCTGGTGACCAGCACTCAGTCGTCACCCCTGGTCACCAGCTCGGGGTCCACGAGCACCCTCGCATCTTCCGTCAGCGCCGACCTGCCCATCGCCACCGCCTCTGCTGATGTCGCCGCGGACATAGCCAAGTACACTAGCAAAGTGAGTGCCAGCAGGCGCCTGGCGGGCTGTCGGAGCACCAGCTTCCTTAGGGGACTGCGAGGGTCAGGACCTCGCAGGCTTTAGCGGGTGTTGAGGGGAGAAGACGCTGTTTTTATTGAGGGTCTCTAAGACTAATTCTTCCTTCGGCTCTATGTTGGAAGTGTAGACTATTCTAGACTGACTCTTAGGCCGAGAGGGCTTAGCTTCTAAAGTCAGTACATAACAGGACAGTGACACAGAATGACACTTAGGCTTCAGAATGCACGTCCCTCCTTAAGACAGATTTTCCCTAAGTGCTGGAACAAATTTCTTTTCCTTTCTTAGTTAATAGCAGGCCTAAGGGCTGGTTTGCTTTTCGAAGCGATGGAGAATAAAAGTGATAGGGGCTTAAACGTGACACTTATAAGGTGTGATGTCCACACCTAGATTTTCCCAGGGACCAGGATGGCCCGTCCTCCGAGGCGTAGTCCTTGTCGAGCGGCACGGCGGGCCAGGTTCTCGCTGTGTGTTGTTCACTAGCAGTGTTCGCTGTGCGGGCTCTTTCTTTTTCTCTCTTAATTGGCCAAGTGATTTTATGCTCATTGGTTGAATTTGGGCTAAGAAAACTTGCAGTTCTCACCGCCAAGAGAGTGCTCTGGAGTGACATGCAGTGCCCTTACTCGGCAGTAAGTAACTCCCAGAAATGCCAGCTCCCCAAGGATGGGATTTGGTCTGTTTTGCTCACTGCCAGGGCCTAGAACCATGCCTGGCACATAGTAGGTGCTTGGTGTAGGGTCGTTGATTAAGTGTGTGTTGTTCCCTAACTTCTCATCACTGAGCTTATTACTATCAGTGGCTATTCATAGTAGCTAATGAGTAATAATTTAAGCATTTAGCAAACTAGTAAGTAGGTAATAATAATAATTTCCTCTTTACTATTGTGAAAATTACCAGTTAGTTACTAAATGAGTAATTTATTCAGGTTTTTAGAGAAAATGGGTGAAAATAGTTGTTTCCAGAATTCTTGAAGTCTTATGATAAAGAGTTGCTATTATCATGTTAAAGGTGTAACCGTTTTTAGTACTGGATAGCGTGAGAGATAGATATATAATTTTTGTTGGTGATTTTTAAGATCCTTCTACCTAGGTGTATTAGTTTCCTCTTTTGCCTCACAAATTACCACAAAACGTAGCAAAAAACACGTTTCTTACCTCATAGTTTCTATGGGTCCGGAGCCCAGGCGTGGCTGAGCTGGGTCCCCGTTTCAGGACCTCTGGTTGACTGCTGTCATGGTGTCTTCTGGGGTTGAGATTTCATCTGAAGACTGAGAAAGGACCCATTCTAAGCTCACTTAGGTGATGGTTGACAGGGATCACTGCCTTGAGGGCCTCAGTTCCTAACTGGCTCTTGGCTGGAGTCCACCCTTGTCCCTTGCCACGTACGCCTTCCCAACATGGCAGCTTGCTTCATTGAAGCCTGTGACAGAGAAAGGCTACCAGCAAGATGGAAGTTACCATCTTACACAGCCTAAGCACAGAAGTGAGCCCCCATCCATTACCTTCACCACATTCTGTTGGTTGGAAGTAGGTTGCCAGGCCAGCCATCTTGGAGTCTAGTCTGTCTGTCATACCAGGTACGATGACACTTAGTGATAGCTTATGTTTGCATGGCTTTTACTCTGGGCCAGACACTGTTCTCAGTGCTTTCTGTATATTACTTAATCTTCCTGACAAATTGATGAGATAGCTACTGGTATCGCCCCCATTTTATAGGTGAGAAAACTGAGTCCCAGCGAGGTTATGTGACTTGTCACACAGTGAATGGTTGAGCTGAGGTTTGGGTGGCAGCAGCCAGGATCTAGACAGTGGCTTTGAACTGGTTTGTGAATTCACATGCAGCCTGCCGACCACAGGAGTCCAGTGTCCACAAACTGATTGTTTTTTGCATGTGCCTTTTTTAAGCAACTCTACTTAAGATTCAGTGTGGCTGAAGAGATAATCAGAACCTTGTCTTGGGGGATAACTTTGTCTCTTATTTAGTATGCCTTTCCCTCTTTTGACTCCAATGCAGGAATTGTCATAGAGTCCCCAAGCTTCACAATAGGAAGATTCAGATGTCAGTTATTTCTTGCCATCCTCGAGGTTTTTGTCTTACCTGTTCCCCACCTGAACTAGTATTGACTTAATACTTTTATTTAAATGAAATTTTACTTAAATTGACATAACTTAAAATGACGTTTAACCTCATCAGATACTGTTCCTTGTCCGTTCCTTTTGTTAAAATGAGAGAGTATCATCAGAGCGTTTCCTGGCACCAAACTGAGGTTTTCTAATACGATCTATAGGATTTCAAGAGAATTAAAGGGGAGTGATTTTTTCATTACTGATAGAAAGAGTTATCTGGAATTGCCTAAATGGTCTCTAGTTCTGCTTGCAAATTGAGCCTTGTATCACCTTCTGTTTGATTTGGTCCCAGCTGTCTCTTTACAGATGAGAAAAGCGAGGCCAGGATCTGGCTGGTGGTTTGCACCGAGCCGTTTTTCGTAGCTCCTGTAAACCATTTTTTATTGTTACTTTCTGCCTCCTCCTTTCCCCTCACAGCAAAATCGAAGAATGGAACATTTTTCATTAGACATTTTCTTTGCAGTTAAGAAAATGAGCACGGTGACATATTTTTAGAGCTGATGAACTTTCCTGTCTCCGAGGTGATCCCGAGTTGAAGACCCAGATTTGTGTGTTTTGGCAGAAAGACTTTCTTTATTAACATCGAGTTCTTTGCTATATTTGGAAGGAAGAGTGAAAGTCGGTCCACAAATTGATGATTTCTTTAGAATGGAATGTAACCGTGGCGTTAGGAACATATTATATTTCATTCATTTTCTAAAGTTTTAAGCAATTTCGTTTTAATATTTTAAATTGACGTGGATGGTGCAGTGGAGTAAGGAGGCCCAGGCAGAATGACTGACCGTAAAGCTGCATAAAGCGCACTGTTTTTGCTGGCAGCGTCCCAGGGTGGCCCCACAATAAGCAAGGGGCGACAGATATTTTATTTTACTCATTTTCCCCCCATTTGAGGGTGAAGTTGGGGTTACCGTTTGGGGGTTTGGCAGTAGTTTCACAATTACATACCTATGTGAATTTTTCTGTAAAAGACGAACAGGTATTTCTTTATGGACACCTGTTCTGCAGCGGGCACTGGACCACATAGCCTTCATGTGATTTTCTTATTCAGTCCCTGTGCACACCCCACCTGGGGGCGCTGTTGTTATCCCTGCCTTCTGCATGGGGAAACGAGGCTCGGACAGGGTGGGTGGTAAGAGGTAGTGGCGGGGACGCATCTGGGACATCAGATACGAGGGTGCTCTTTGTCCTGCCTTCAGGCTGCAAAACGCAGGGGAGGCTCGGCAGTAGCAAGGCCGAGCCTGAGCCCTAGTTTGGTCTCCTGTCCTCTCTTTCTCTTGTGATGCGGGGAGCAGCCAGCCAGCCAGGGGGAGGTAGGAGAGAAATTCATCCTGTGAGTACATTCGGTCATCAGATACCTGGGTGCCTGCTGGGTAGACCTGAGCCTGTGTCACAAGCTCGCTGATCCCCACGTGGGTCAGATAGCTACACAAACTGGAAAGGCAGTGTCCTGATCAAAGGCATTAGAATAACAAACCAGCTACATCCACACAATGGACTCTAGTATTGGTCTATAAAAAGGAATGAAGTCCTGATACACCCTGCAAAACAGATAACCTTGAAATGTTATGCTAAGTCAGACAAGCCAGTCACAGAGGACCACATACTGTCTGATTCCATCTATATGAAATCTCTAGATTAAGCAAATTTATAGAGTTAGAAAGCAGATTAGTGGTTGTCAGGGGCTGGGGGATGGCAATGGGCATTTTGAGGGGGTGTGAAGGTGTAGGGAGAGTAGAGTTCCTGTTAGGGGTAATGAAAAGGTTCTGAATTGGTGGTGGTGATGGGTACACAACTCTGAATATGGTAAAAGCCATTGAATTTTACACTTTAAATGGGTGAATTACATGGTATAGCAATGAAACTGTTTTCTTAAGGGGAAAGAATTGAAAAACAACAGCTACACAATATAACAATCCCTCCTTTGAACCCACTGTGCTGTGCTGCCCACATAGAACACATCTGGGGGCCTAGTTCAGCCTCTCTAGTTCAGCCTGTGGCTGTAGAAACTACATGAGCTGCTCCCAGAATGCGAAACAGAGAACTTGTGGGTGACCCTGCTCTGGTTTATATCAGGGTTTCTCAGCCTTAGCACCTGTGACATTTTGGGCTGGGTAATCCTTTGTCGTGGGGGCTGTTCTGTGCACGGTGGTGCACCCCCAGTTTCTACCCACTCGATGCCAGGAATATGCCCCACCAGTGGGGACCTGCTGCTTTTATGCAGCTAGAGTTTAGATGCATGTTATCTAGAAAAGCCTCAGAGAAGCGATCAGTTGAATTGTTTCTGTTTTTATCTTTCAGATGATGGATGCAATAAAAGGAACGATGACAGAAATATATAACGATCTTTCTAAAAACACTGCTGGAAGCACAATAGCCGAGGTCAGAGACGACACGTTCATTCTCTATTTGCTAAGAGTGTTTTGTGGGCTGCTGTGGGATGGTGTCGTGAGGAAGCTTCTCCAGGATCACCCTGCCCCCCGCCCCAGTCCTGGGGCCCCGGCTCCGGTCGCCAGGCCTGCTGGGCCGATGGGGCTTGTTGGTGAGGGTGTTTCTTCATTGAGCCAGAAGGCTGATGCTACAGAGACATGCCCATGCTACGTGAGCAGTCCCCTTCTCATAAAACAGCCCAAACCAGAGCCTGAGTTGTTAACCCACTGCTGAAACTGGAAACGAGTTCTTTTTGCTCCATGTAAAATTGGCTCCTTGGTCGTCTCTGTAAGTTTGGACTTTTTTTATACCAGCGATGGAGAACTGTGGCAGTCCCATGTAAAGCCATTGACCAACGAGGGCCTGGCAGGGTTAGGCTGGCCCTCGGGTGAAGAAGAAAAGCTTCAAGAACGTGCCCCGAGAGGCCTTCGACAGTGTACAATGTGGGTATAAAGGTTTAAAAGAGGTCCCCCAAGAAATCAGTGAATCACCTTGGATATTTTTGCTAATGTGACCCTCTTTCTGATTATGCTGGGAACATCAAGCAAGAGGGGAAAATGTTGCTTTAGCAAAACCTCCCACCCCAGCCCCCCGCCAAACTTTATTCTTTGGTTGTTCATTTTAAGAATAGGCACACAGTTGAAAGTGTGGGTCCATAAAGTTTCACTTGAAATCTTGAGTCCTACGAGATGCATGCCAGAATTGTTCAGATTTTGAGAGAAGTAATGGGCGGCAGCCCCCCACACTGGACATATTTCTGTAGTGAACCATGTCATTGTTCACACGAGGTGGGATGAATCAGGGTTTTTCAACCTCGGCTCTGCTGACACTTGTGCCCGGTAATTCTCTGTCATAGGGGCCATCCTGTCTATTGTAGGATGTTTAGCAGCATCCTTTGCTTCTACCCACTAGATGCCAGTGTCACCCTCCAGTGGTGACACCCCAGCATCTCCAGGGCGCCGCTGTGGAGGAAGAGGGAAGGGCGGCATCTCCCCAGCTAGAACATTGTGATTTTTAAACACGGGGCTGGAGAGAGGGGACGGATACCTTGTTTTCATTTTAGATGGATTTCTTTTCTCCTCCAAATGAATTTGGCCCCGAACTTAAACCCCTCTCCCCCAAAATACCCCTTGGTTTTGAGATATTAGGCTTTGGAATTTCAAGTGAATGGCTCTGGTCCCCACCTAAAACCTTAGGTAAGAGGTAAAATAGAGCTATCGTTATTTGTTATTAGTTTCATTTTTGTAGGCCAAAGTCCTAATCAAAAATCTTATGTGTTATTTATTATGAAACGCTGGTCTTCGTTTTCACTTTTAAGTGGCTTCTCCTAGTGCCACTATTTCTTAGAAAAGATGGACTGCTTGTATTTAGTTTTCTGGAACAATTTCTTGTGACTTTGGGTTAACCCACTGGCCTGTCTCTCTAGAGTGTAGCTGTGGGGGGCTCAGCACAGACCCAGGCTGTCTGCTCCTTCATTCACAGTGAGAGGTCGAGCTTCTGGGCCCTGCTGGTGAAGGGCCCCCAGACACGCCTTTTGAAAAAAATGTTTATACAATCTATGTTTTACATACTTATTTTTCAGACGCACCATTTAAGTCTTTCTCTTCCGCTACAGATCCGCAGGCTGAGGATCGAGATTGAGAAGCTTCAGTGGCTGCACCAGCAGGAGCTGTCTGAAATGAAACACAACTTGGGTAAGGCCCGGCAAAAGGCACTGAGAAAGGTTATGGACGTGAACTTCGTCGCACCTCTGGAGTCAGGCCCCGAAGGGAATTGAGTCAAAAGTAGGCTAGGGAGACCACAGACTCCTGGAGAGGCCAACCCGGGGAAGCCAGGTATAAAAGCAGGTACAAAACCAGGTGTAAAAAACACTCTCTTCAAAATATCAACATCAGCAACAAAATGATAGTAATGAGAGTAATAGCAGCTCCTACTTATTGAACTCTTACCTTGGGGCCAGGAACTGTTTTAAGTGCTTTTTCATGAATTAAATAATTCTTCCAGAAACCCTCTGATAAAGGGGTCTCTCTCTCACCCTGGTTTTCAGATGAAGAAACCGAGGCATGGACATGTTATGGAAGTTGTTCAAAGTCACACAGCCATGATTCAAGTCCAGACTTGCCCTCCTAACCATTGAATATTAAGTATTTGAACAAATTCTGGAATACTGCCTCTGCGTCCCACAAGCTGCATTGTCGGTCGCTGGGTTAGACTGGCTACCCTTCTGTGTGAATATTGTTGCAGGTTTTTACCCCCACAGATAGAGCAACTTTGTTTCAGACCCTCATGTAATAGCAGCCCCAGAGATAGGCTGCTCAAACCATAGGCTCTCTTTTGTTAGGGAGGCATGCCCAGGTGTGCCCACTTGCTCACCGGTGGTATATGGTGAAATCACATGGTGTAAACTCAAATTCTCATGAAGCCGACAGAAGAGGAGCCCGCTGTTCTCTATCTTGTCACCATGTGGGATGTTTATTTGGATGTTGTTGCTTCTTCTTGTTTTTCTAGTAAAGTCAAAGAATCTATTTTTATGCAGTCTCTATTTTTAAGTAGTGACTGCACATTTGGAAAAAAATACTTGTGGATTTTCTTTACTGGTCTGTTTTGAAGGGTCCATTTTTAAATTTCAGGAAGAGGATTTTAAGGAATGGAGAAACCATTTATTTCAGTGTGCAGGTCGCTCCCAGGTGAGTTGCAGATGTCTGAAGTAAAATGAGAGAGATCTCAGGAGAGGGGGCAGTTTGACAGCTGTCTGTCAGCATAATGGTCGGCCACAGCGCCCTCTCTGGTAGGCTGGATCCATTGCCACTAAACACACTGAAAAGAAAGCAAGTCTGAGTTCTGGTCCCAGCTCTGCCCGTATTAGCCGTGTGCCTCAGTTTCCTCATCTGTGAAAGGGGCATTATAGTAGTCCTTACCTCATGGGCACATACAGACATCCTAGGTATAAACGAGTTAATATTTATAAAGTGCTCAGAATTGTGCCTGCATATAAGTGTTTGATAGGAAAAAAAAGGCTTCTACTTAGGACAAAATTGAAATTGAGTTGAGTGGAAATTGGTTTGAGGCTTTATTTGGAGGCTTCCCACAGAACCAAGCACCCAGGGGCTCCTGTGATTGCTGTGTCGTTAATTGAGATACCTCTCGTTTACCTTAACTTGCTGTTAACACAGCTCAGTCAGGTCGGTGTGATGAGTGCCCGTTTTAGAGATGAAGATACCGGGGCTTGGGGGGGCTGTGTTAACAGCCCAGCGGGGTACCCAGCCGGGGCACCTCCGAGCTACAGCTCACATCTGTGTCAGGATCCATTTGGACACCCTCCACACCCCGCACTGGGGGACGGGGGATGAAGCCGGAGTGCTCTCTCCTCCTCTGTCAGAGCTGACCATGGCTGAGATGCGGCAGAGCCTGGAGCAGGAGCGGGACCGGCTCATCGCCGAGGTGAAGAAGCAGCTGGAGCTGGAAAAGCAGCAGGCGGTGGACGAGACGAAGAAGAAGCAGTGGTGTGCCAACTGCAAGAAGGAGGCCATTTTCTACTGCTGCTGGAACACCAGCTACTGCGACTACCCCTGCCAGCAGGCCCACTGGCCCGAGCACATGAAATCCTGCACCCAGTCAGGTACGGCCACGCGGACGTTTCCGGCCCTGGCTGCAGCGGGGTGGGTGTGGGCGCCCTCGTAGGCCGGCGCGGCGATGGTGGCTTGCCTAGCCCCTCGCCACGCTCCCTCCCAAACAGCTGTGCCTCTCACAAGTGCGACGTCAGCTTTTGCACGTGGCCGAGGCCGGAGGTGCAGGAGTTTCCAACCTCTGGTCTCCTTTGCATTGTTTGCCAAAGAGCGGGGCTTGTAAGGACGGCCCAGACGAGGGAGTTTCCTGTGAGTTGCAGTGGTTCTCAGCGGGGGGACATTTTGTGGCCCCGCCCTGCCCCGCCCCACAGTGTTGGCAGTAACCGCAGACGTTAGTGGTAGTTTTAACGGAGTGTTGGTGTGGAACTAATCTGTGATCTCTTCTAACTAACACAAAGCAGAGCAGGTCTCGGGTCTCAGGCCAGGAGACTCCAACTGGAAACGCTGTCTAGTTAGAATTTATTAATAACATCTTAAAAGTAATGTTTTCAGTTAGCTTTTACTTGTGGCAAACGATATTAGCTTTATATGCGTAGAATTAAAAGTCTCCATTTTAAAGGCTCTATTTAAATTAAAATAACAAAATAATGTGACTGTGTAGTATGTCTATATTTAGACGGGCAAAATTTTCAAAGTTGTCGTATAAATGAAGAAGTTTGAGAGACGCTCTCTAGGCCGGGGTTGGCAAACTCTTTTTGCGAAAGAGTCCAGAGAATGAATATTTTAGGATTTGTGGGCCATGTGGTGCGTCGAAACTGCTCAGTTCTTCTGTGTAAGGCCAGAGCAGCCTCAGACACTATATAAATGGCAGCTGTGGCTGCGTTCCAATAAAACTTTATTTACGGAAACAGGTGGCGCTAGGTTGCCAACTCCAGCTCTATACTGATCTTCTGTTATTTTATTATTTTTAAAAAGTGATTTTTAAGCCATACGTTGCAGAGTCCTTTAACCTTCCGTAGGGAGATGTCTTGGTGGTTGTGGGTTTTTTTTTTTTTTTAAATAGAGTTTTGTAATTTAATTTTATTGGGGCACATACAGACATCCTAGATATAAAGAATTGCAGCATCTGGACCGTATTTAAGGGTTCATTCTGGAAGTGTAAGGGAGATGTCTTCTTAAATCTCTTTCCGTAGCAGAGTTAAATTCTCCTAAGTTCTGCCAAAAAAAAGTGTCCGGCGACCCTTTCGTGTTACGACAGTGTGGCCAGATCGTCCCTCAGCTTTCCTTTCATGGTGGTGTCGTAATGTCCATCCTCCTGAAATTTCTCTTGAATGCCGTTTTTCAGTTTGTCCAAGTTTCTTCCGTCTCCAGGCGCTGCATGCCTCTCTCTGACAGACGTCATGTTGCTTTTCCGCATGGGGTCCCCCCTCCTTGCCTCAGAAGGAAGCGGTTCCATAGGGCTGAAATAGATCTAAGACCAGAAGTTACGAAGGGAGTAATTCTAGATCCACAGTAGCTGGCGCTTGATGACGACCTGCGTTTGTTCTGTGAACGCGCTTTCATCTCCACAATGCTTTAATAAGACATGAATTGCTGTAAAAATTAACAGTTCACACACGGTCTGGAATTCCAGCTTCTGGAAGGCCGTGGAGGTCTGGCTGCTTGGGGCCCGCACTGGGCCCTGGTTGTTGAGTCGTGAGTTGACTGAGCTTTGGAGCCGCCACGTGCAGAGCGGGCCTCTGCCGCCGGCCCGGGAACCGTCCCACTCGGCTCACCCGTGGCTTTTCCCTCCTTCGCCCCCAGCTACCGCCCCTCCGCAGGAAGCAGATTCCGAGGTGAACACAGAAACACTAAACAAGTCATCCCAGGGGAGTTCCTCCAGCACGCAGGCAGCCCCTTCGGACACAGCCAGCGCCTCGAAAGAGAAGGAGCCGTCTGCCGAGAAGAGCAAGGATGGTGGCTCGGTGAGTATCCGCAGGCCGTTGGCCGGTGACTCCAACCCTTTGGGCCAGGCAGAGTCTCAGGACCTGTCCCCATGCCGGCCGCCCCTGAAAGCGCCCCACTGTAGTAGGTGTGTGTGTCGTCGGGGCAGTCAGGCTGCAGGCGGGGGTGACCGTCCTAGCAGGCAGGGTTCCTTTTTACCAGTGGGCTTGCGGGCAGGGGCAGAGGAACGTGGAGCCCAAGTGGACATTGGTGTGACTTGGCAGCTGCTTCCTGGCGACTCTCGAAGTTCAGAACAGCATTGTCTAGCAGAACCTTCCGTGACGGGGAGCGTGTTTGGTGTCTGCTCTGTCCGGAGTGGTAGCCGCCAGCCACCTGTGGCCGCTGAGCACTTGAATCTTGGTGGTGTGACTGAGGACCTGAATTTTACATTGTAATTGCATTTCAATCAATTTCAGTGCTCACAGTCACAGCGTTGTGGCCACCATATCGGACAGTGAAGATGGTGCCTTCTAGTTTCCGTGTGTGGGGTTTGTGACATGGATGGATTGCATGCAAACATTATTTTAGGTGGCACATGGATACCTTTTATGTTTTTATTCCAGTGTGTATTAGGGAAAAAAAGTTATTATTTCATCAGTCAGCACCCTTTGATTTTATTGATACTATGGCCTAGTTAGAGGTTAGTGTGAAATAAAAGTGAATTAATATAATTTTGGAGTAATATACTTCCTTTTTTGGATATGGTAAAAGTCTGGAGGGTGGATAGATCAGTGAGGGAGGTTGAGGAAATAGTGAATGTTCTGGAAGCTGTGGCTACAGGGTAGAGTAAGGGGCCACCCCAGTGCTGTCCTTCCACCTGTTCAGTCTGGGGACAGAGCATAGGTAGAGGGCCACCCCAGCTGACCTGGCCTCCCCGGCCTGAGCGCAGCAGGCAGAGGGCACGAAGGTGCCTGGGGGGAAGAAACGAGCACCCCCATGGATCCCTGGGCTTCCCTGGGGGCTACATTGGCCCCAGTGCCTTGAGTCCATCTCTCTCTCTTTGTATTTCTAGACCCTCGACCTTTCTGGCTCCAGGGAGACGCCCTCCTCCATTCTCTTAGGCTCCAACCAAGGCTCTGGTATGTTGCCCCCTGGTGGGTGAATGCTGCTCTCACGTCCCACACTGGCGGAGGGGAAGCCTATTTCTCAGAGAGGACTATAAGGGTTTCAATGGCAGTGGTTTTCAAACTACTGTGGATCCTTAGGGATCCCTGGGGGTGCCCTGGGTGGGTCACTGGGGGGTGAGGGCGTGGCTGGGCAGGTCAGTCTCAGACGCCTCTCCAAACTGATCAGTGTTTGCTTGTACAGTAAGTTCTCACTTTGCGTTGTGGGTAGGTTTTTTGCAACTTTCAAGTGATGAGACCAACGTCACCGTAGGCTCGTTGACAGAAACGAGTGGTTCTTAACGGCATCTCGTCAATGTTATAATAGAAATAACGTTGAACGAAACGATGTTATTCGAGGTCCTGCTGCATCTGTTTTATTTAGCCGGGGCCCCACATGAAACTGCGTTTGGACAGAGGGTTCTGTTGCTGACCTGGTGCGGGGTAGGCGCTGTGCGTTTGGGTTGGGCAGGTCCGTTTCCGAGGAAATGACCACAGTACATGAAACTGGGGCAAGCTTTGTGCCTGAGGTCCCAGCACTTGTATTTGGTGGATGAGGGCACTTGATAGTTTAGGGAAATCAAGACAAATTTTAGGTGGATGGTCTTTCTGTAAAAAACCTTTCCTCTTAGGGAATAAATAACCTCGCAGGCTGTATTAAGGGGGTTTTCTGAGACTTTTGGATTTTCTCTGTGAGATTTGAGCTGTCCGAAGGGTCTTTCTCCTGTACTCTCCAGACCCGTTTTGGGTCATGCCAGATGGGTTCAAAGACGGTGTCTTCATTGAGGACAGTTTTGCTTAATTAATTCAAGGTTTTTCAGCTCTGAGATCTTTCTCTCTCTCTCTGCTGAATAATTCCAAAAATTTTATTTCACTTTCGCGTGTTAAGTGCACAGAGGAAAAAGTGGTGTTTGTTTTTAGGGTGAAGGAGAAGGATCCCCGAAGGGACGGGAGAGTGGGATTCAGAACCGATTTTACAGAGTCTGTGAACTGGGCATGAAATACAATCGCATCGTCTCTCAGAAAAGTAACTCCTCACTTCCCCTTCGGTTCTGACGAAATCTCTGAGGACAAGTTCGATTTGGTGCTGTCTTTCGCACGTCGATGTTTGCTAGTTTCTCTTTTTAACAAAGAGCAGACTTCCGACCTGAGCCGCGTGGTGGTACCCAACTAGAAATCAGTGCTACAATTTGGTGTTTCTTATGTTTCTTTATAGAGTTGCCTCCTATGTGTGGCAAGTGTTGATTGATTTTCTGCTTTTGGGGGGTGATGATAAAAGTTTCTGCTTTACTCAAGTTTAAAAATGCGTTTAAAATAAAAACACGAACTGAGTCTACGTAGGAGGGTTGTGGACGTGTCAGATTAGGAAGGCAGTGTGAGAAAGGCCCAAGTTGGAGAAACGCTGTTTAGGTTTTGGGGCCACGAAGTGGTGGGGTCAGCATGGCGTTGGGAAGAAGGCAGATGCTGTGGTGTGTGGCAGCTGTCGGAATAAGTAGGTCATAGGCAGAAACATGGCTGGGAGCTGCATCATTGTGCATTTCTGAGGGGAATACGGTATCCCTGAACCCAAGGGGTCTACAAAGTCTGCAAAGGGCCAGATAGTAAATATTTTTAAGCTTCATGGGCCACGCGGTCTCCGTTGCAACTGTTGAGCTCTGCCACTGTGGGATGAAAGCACATGTAAGTAACACGTATACACATGAGTATGGCCATGATGCTCCAGTGAAACTATATTGGAAAAAACAGGCATTGGGCTAGATTTGGTCTGTGGGCCACATAGTTGGCTGACCCCAACCTAAAGCACACTGCAGGCCAAGGGGACGGAAAGGAAGGCTCAGCTTGGAGAGAGGGGACAAAAAGCCCTGTAGATGCTGGTGACTTGGTGCCGAGTGGGTTGGGGAGGAAAGAATGATCCCCAGGAGTCTGCCGACTTGATGGAGGAAGAAGAAGGAGCAGGAAGTGGGGGAGGGAAGGATCCCAAATTCTACTTGCGATTCTTGGAGGGTGCATGACACTGGGCATTCTGCAGAGAGCTGGGGGATAGGCAAGAGTTTGTGGAGTATCTCTGCGGCCAGGCTCTGTGCTAGGTGTAGGGCCAGGGGTTTAGTGGTGAACAAGGCAGACAATTCCTCTTCGAATTCCTCATACGTCTAACTTCTGCTGGCTGTCGCTGTTGGTGACAAAGCAGATGAAATCTTGAGAGCGGGCTCTATAAAACCTGAGGTCGCTAGTTCTTCATAGGCATCTGGTACTAGGAGGGTAAGTAAGGAGGCTCGTTGGAATGGAGAAGGGTTTAGTGGGGGGTATGGGGAGGTATGAGCTTCCTCTGGTGACCATGGGCCCCTCCTGTTTACTTGTCTCTTAATTTTAAGATTCGAATCAGAGCATTACATGCATTTAGTTAGAGGCAATAAGATGGCACAGGAAACGTCCTGCCCGGTCCTGGTCTCCGCTGGGGCTTGGTGTGTCTGGTACTCACCTCTTTATTTGTTAATAATGTTCTTCTCTGTATTCCTCCTTCTGGTCTTTATTTTCAGAAGTTGCTTGTTGATTTCCAGCTTTAAGGAAATGAGAATGAGGGTCGTAGGTGACCTGTTTTCCCCAGCCTCGTCCCAAACTAGTTATGTCACTGGTTTGTGTGCTGTGGGTTACCTTGGCCAAATACAACACTTCCTCTTCGGTTCTTGCTCTGGCAGCTCGAGGCAGAATCTCCTCTCTCACCTCACCTACCCGCTACCCCTGTCACAGGTAGACTCTCCATCTTCTCCCCTGTGACTTTCCATCATCGGGGTTGAGAATATGAGTTCTGGTCTGTAACTGCAGCTGAGTCTTCTCGCTATGGGCCATTGGCCGAGTCTGAAAATGCGAAACGCGATAATTCGTGTCTCTGTCGTTGTGACACACTTGTTGTAGGGTCAGATAGTGTCCTGTGAGAACATTCCCGTTCTTGTATGACCTTGACTTCTTCCTGGACTTTCTTTTTCTTCTCCTTGATTGTGTCTTCAGTCATTCCCTAGCAGACTCTTCACCGTATTAGTTATTTTTTGGAGACGCCTTTCATATCACTGATTCTTGACTCTTCGGTTTCAGATGTTACTCGTTGGTGTCTGACTGTCAGAGCTGAGAATGTGGCTGACTTGGTAGCTGATCCCGTAGCCCCTTCCTCATCTGCCTCCCCACGTGCACCTTCATGGCCCCCTTCTCCCTGTTCTGTCACCAGCCTCGGCAGGAGATGAGTTATGTGCCCTGAGTAACCTGAATCACTTGGGTGGCATCTCCCGCCTTGCCGTGGTCCTGGTCCCTTGGCCAAGTCAGGCTGTCAGCAGAGCCTGGTGGCTGAGGATTCTGCTTTCAAAATTTTGAGAATCTATGGCTTATAAAGTTGGCTTTTACGTCACTGTGTACCTTATTTACACCTGTAATGCCATGCTGTGTCCAGTTTATGGTTTAATACGCATTTTTAAAACTGCTTAGTCTCCTGCGAATGCATTAAGTTGGAGAAAGGTGATGTAAAGCGAACCAGTTCTAGGAGCAGTAGCGTATTAATGAACAAACATAGCACTTCGGGGTTGTGTGGATTTGAGCTCTGACAGACTCTGAGGCTGCCTGTGCTATCTCTTCAGTTAGCGACAGGTGTGACAAGCAACCTGCCTATGCCCCAACCACCACAGACCACCAGCCGCACCCCACCTACCCCGCCCAGAAGTGTAAGTATGACCCTGTCTCACAGAACCTGCCGGGGACTTACTCCTGGCACGCAGAAGGCTCGTTTCAGAATGTCAAAAGGGAAAACAGTGTTGTGTGTGTGTGTGTGTGTGTGTGTGTGTGTGTGTGTGTTTCTTTCTTTGTGGGGCGTGCCTTCTACTCTTCTTTTGAGTGACGGGTCTTGCTTTGGCTTGCGTCTCTTCTCGGCTGGTTCTCTCTAGTAGTAGGGGAATGAGAAAGTCAGAGCGTCTGGTTTGTCTCCTTGGGGCTTGTTCATCTTTGCTCTTTTCTTAAAGGGTCTTAGGTTTACGCTGATTCTCCCCACAGCGATTGGCCACGCCAGCCAGCGCCCTGTGTCCTGTCCACGTGGGGAGTTAGGCCCCGCAGGTACAACCTGGCTGTGCGGCGCAGATGCGGTACTGAGCTCAGCCCATTTCTTCTAGTGCCTTCTCTGCTTTCACCAGAGCTGGAGGTGGGGGTGGGGGACATGATGTGGCTCAACTGCATTGTTGTAGAATTTTCTCATGTATGGGGATAACCAACTAACTGCACCACTCCCCAAAGACCTTCCAAAACACCTAAAGATGCAGGCATCACAAATCTGAAAGAAGAGTTAAGGAGAGGTAGATTGAGGATTCTTAGGAGTGGGCCCTTGACCCCAGGTCTGCAGAATACTAACTCCCTTTTGGTCCTTGATGCAAGTGACTACAGCTGAGTGACCGCCTCACTCTAGAGATGGACGCACATCATTCCCTTCTCCATTTGTGTTTCAGAAACAGAACTCATGACTAAACACTCGCATGCCTTTTTACCAGGTGATAGGAAATGTCACCCCCCCGGGCGATGATCCGGTCCCCTCCTCACTTATTCCGATTCTGTCTCTAAGCTTAACAGTTGACAACTTTCAGCCGCTGCACTCCAGAAAATTAAAAGGTGTTTTGTTCCAATCTGTCTGAGCTGGGTAAATGATCTCAGAGATGATGGGGTCTGGCGGTTTGCTGATAGATCTCTGGTAGTGGACGGTCCAGCGAGCCCGCGGGTCTGGGTGGTTTGCTAGTTTTACAGACGCCTCATTTGGCTCTTCCTTCAACTTCCTCATTTCTGACTCGGCCACCGTTTAGCTCCTGTGGTAGACCCGTCCTTGAAGCTCTCCTAGATCTTAACTCTGGTTCCGCATCCTCCTCTGACTCTCAAGCTCGTCTTTCCTGGGAATCAGTGGGTCTGTGTCCCCAGTGGGACTTGACCATTCTGGCCCACGTTTCTTTTGCTTTATGATCTGCTTCTTTGGGTGGTTTGGTTATAAGTCTGTTGCCTATAAATTGATTAATGAAACTTCTTTAATATTAAAGTAAGTAGGTCGAATGCCAAATTTCGGTGCCTTTTTCCTGTGGCCCAGCTCGCATACAGGTACCTGGGGTGCTCGGTGTCATCCAGTCATGTCACCAGGGCACACAGTTCCAGGTACCACA